CGCACCCTCTCCATCTGTCGGTTGGAGAGCTGGAGACGGCCTCCTTCCTACTCACATTCATGCCCACACCCACCCAGGGGCAGGCTGCTCTGGTCCGCTTAGGGGAGCAGCTCCTGTCCCCTCCTCATCACGGCCCCACCTTTTCTCCTGGCTTGCTTCTTCCCTGAGCTTGACAAACAGGGTCCCTCTTGTTCTTGATGAGGCCAGCTGTTCTCATTGCTTTGTAGGTAATGATGCCAATGAAAGGTGTTATTTCCTGGTCGTGGGCCATACTCCAGGGACTGCACTAACCCACTGCACACCTTATTTTCTCCTTGCATCCTTGAAAAAGCTGCACAGGGTAGCATTGTTCTTATCTAATTTACAGGGGAAGAAAGAGGCTTCCCAAGGTTAAGGAACTTGCTAGTAAGCAGCTGAACCATGATTTGAACTCTGGTTGGCCTGGTTCTGGAGAGCCTGCTGTTATCCGCATAGAACTTCACTTTCCAATAGGAGGCCATTAGCCACATCCCATTATTTAAATGAGAGAGAATTACAAATTCTGTCTGTCAGCCCTGCTAGCCCCATGTGAAGTGCTCTCGTCATATGAGACTAGTGACTGCCACACTGGACAGCACAGATGAGTTCTATCACCATGGAAAGTCCTGCTGATGGTGCTGGTATAGACAATTAAAGATGGAAGGGCTTCTGCTGTTCAGCCTCCTCCCCACCCCATCCTGTGCTGCGGATGGAGAAACTGAGGCCACACAGATGCAGACCGCTGCCCAAGACCTCCCAGCACGGCTGAGACCTGAGATTCTGTCTCTCTGGCCTCTGCATGTCTCACACCCTCGCCTCTTCCTGCCCACTTTCTGTGACCCTCTGAATAACATGGACACATGCTTCACACCCATGACGACACATCTGAGCTCTGTCATACCCAGAGGCACCTGGCATCCCCTACACCAGGACACTGGCCAGGCTGCCGACCCACCCATGGGCAGACCTGTTTCCTTGAACCCTTTGCACCCAAAAACAATTTCACAAGCACTCCCAGGACCTGCCTCTCATTCCCTACACTCGGCAGGGCCCTCCCATGCAGGCTGCATCCCTTCCTCTTGGAGCCCTGGTCACTCCCTCCGCCCTGCCCTCCCCACCTGGACCTCCTCCCCTCTCACACTCTGTCCTGTTTCCAAGCTTCTGCCCACCCACTTGCTGGCCACCTGCTCAGCTCAGGGCCGGGGGAGGAGTGGGCTTGCTTTTCTGTTTGCCAAGGCAGCTGCGCTGTGGCCACTCGCTCATGTAGGATGAGACTGCAGAAAAATGCCCTTTTCCAACAGCAGATTAGAGAGAAGGAAGTTAGGGCAGCAGGCTTGCTGCCCCCACTCTCATTTTTGCTGCAGATTTCCCCTGCTCTTCGTCTCCCTGGCCGTGGCACCTCGGCAGGAGGGGAGGAGCCTCCCACTGCGGATGCGGGTCTGAGGCTGCACAGGCAGAGGGGCTGCTCGGCTCGGGCCCTTCCTCACCCCTTTGGAGGCTTCACGTGCCTGGCATTGTGCCCAGGGTTTTGTGGGAGTTGTCTCCCTTAATCTCCCCAACACAGCCAGGAAGGAGGTAGAGGCTGTCACTGCCCCATTCTATAGAGGGGACGGAGACGTGCAGCGCTAGGTTCAGCAACTCACAGTGAGAGTAAGTCATGATCAGACCGCAGGGCTTTGGGAGCCCAGAGGCTCCGCTCCTGAGGGTCGTACTCTCCTGCCTTTGGTGGAGTCGGAGGAGCATGTGCAGGCGACCTGGGCTCTCTTCACAGCCTCAGGAGCAATATGCCTGCTCACTGGGGCCTCAGGGTCCTGATCTGTTAAACGGGAGATCAGAATTCCCCAACCGTGAGGGCCCAGAGGGAGCTTATGGTGACCGTGCATTGAAGGGAGGCCGGCATCCTCTGGATCTGTAGCTCTGAACTGGTTTTGATAAACTCCTCCCTCTGAGCATCTGTTAAAAGCCAGGCATCCTTGCTCCAGAAAAAAAAAAAAGCACATATGCCCACTCACAGGCACAGGATGTCCTTCGGGTGTACAAGCCCCTGTGGCTGCCCACCCATGGTCTGGACCTTGAGTGAGAACCTGGGATTTACTCAGCAGCTCAGGGCTGTGTTCTGAGGAGGAAATTTAGTGCTTCTCCCAGTTTACAGGCAGAGCTCTAGGGACCCGAGTTCTTGGAACAGAGCCAGGCTGTGGGGCCCGTGGAGCCCCCGTGCTCAGAGCCCCAGTGACCCCCTGTCAGTGCTGACTTCCAGGGCGGGGTGGACATCAGGCAGGACTTTTCCAGAAAGTGGGCATTGCCAAGCTGCATGGGACAGCATGTTAAATTAAAATACAGGTTCCCTGGGCCCACAGGCAAGGGTTCTGATTTTGTAGGTCTGAACAGGGTCTTAGAATAGGTATTTTTTAAAGACCCCCCTCCCAAGGGATTCTGAAGCAGCCAGTTTGATAACCATTGATTTAAGGTCTTTACCTAGAATGGAGTTTTATTTCTCTATCGAAGAAATTACCTCCCTCCCTCCCTCTCTCTCACATTAATTGAACCCCAGCTCAGACCAGGCATGGACTGGGTGCTGGTGAACAGGACCTAAGCCTAGCCCCGCACTTAGGAGCTTGTAGCCTCCCTCCTTCCCTGCCCTTCCACTCCCTGGAGTTCTCAGACCTTTCCTAGAAGTGGCCACTTGAGTCACCCTCTCTCCCCGGGCCTTTGAAAGTCATGGCTGGGTAGGGACCGGAGCAGGGACCTGATGGTCTTTGGGTCCATTCTTCGGTCTGGGTAGCATGAGCACCTTTGCAGTTGGTGCCCTGCCTTCCTCAGATGCCTGTTCATGTTCCCACCACCTGTCACTGAAAGTCCTCTCCCCATCTCCTTTCAGTCCCTCTCACTGTTGCTTAAATCGACCTCCTGTTCCTGCTAGTGACATCTGTGGAGTCCCAGTTGGCAGCGGACATTGGGTACCCAGGCATGGGGGCGTGGAAAATAAAGTTCAAGTCCTGGCTCTAGGGGAACTCGCTGTCAGGTGGGAGAGACAACCGGGGAGGTACGTGGTGTCCGGGGGTGCCAGCGAGAGGCCCCGTAACAGGAGGCTCCTCGGGGACAGTGACAGCTCTTGCTGCTTTCCTCCAGTGAGGGGACAGGCAGCGGTTGCGCACCCTGCAGAGGGTCTGTCACTGTGCGAGACTGTCATTGCCCATAAATTCTGGCTTTCTCCAGTTTTCCTACCAGGTCACCTTTTCTAGTTTCCAGCCACCCTCCCAGCTCTCTCTTCCTCATTTTTCTCCAGTTGCCAACCAGTCCCCTCATGCTGCCCAGACACAAAGCCAGTGACGTGAAGCCAGGGGCTGTGCAGAGAGGGTGTTTGTACCAGCCTGCAGGCCTCCTCGGTGCCTGCCAGTGCCCATCCATGTTTCTCTCAACTTCATCTTGGTGGGTTGGACTTGCTTGTATGCTTAGCAGGGGGATCGAAGTTTGGAGGATACAATGGGGCGTGTCCACGGCAGGAGCCTGGATGTGCAGGCTCACTGGTGGGGGAGAAACGAAAAACCTGGGAGTGCAGATACCTGAACTCTAGGTGCAGTCCTGCCTGGAACTAGCTGGGTGGCCTTCTGCCATCTACACTGAGCTGCACTGGAGCTCGGAGGCTTGAGCTGCACTCCAGGTGGAAGGAATCCAAATCCGCCTTTTAGCCAGACACCGGGTCATTTGTGTGGGCCTGAAAAATGGGAGGCCTGCCCCTCAGACTGACTTCTTGCCATTAGCTTGTAGTTAGGGTGGTAATGTTGGTGACCACGGCCATTGTGCAGCCCCCAGGGGCCTCCCCTGTGACATGAAGGGATTTGTGGTAGAGGGTACGACACCGTACCTAGGTGCCAGACTGAGCCCTCAAACTAGTTCTCTTTGGCCAGATGCTATGTTCACATTTTTAAAAAAAATAAGGTGCCAGTATTTTCAAATGGAGAAATTTCACATAAATACTTGCTTCAGGTTTTCTTCCAACCACCAATACTTTGAGAATAAAATCCCAGAAACATCCTAAATCACAGGAAAAGATGCCCAGCCTCACTCTTAACATGAGAATCACAAATGAGATCTGCACCGAATTGCCACTTGCCACCTGTCTCACTAGCAAAGATAAGAAAGTTTGATAGCACGCCACGCAGAAAAGAGTGGAGGAACGTGGTCCCTTCATTATAAGTTGATGCAATCTCTGAGACAGAAAATCTCCCATAATCTATCAGAATACCCAAACCACATCTACCCTTTGACCAGACAACAGTGGTTCTAGAAATTCACCTGCAAACACTTGCACACGTGGGAAATGCAATGCTAGCACATGTGTGAGTCAGTCACTGCGGTGCTGCTCGTCATGGCTATAGGTTGGACTAACCAATGGCCTGTCAACAGGAGTTTGGCTAGGGAAATCACAGGATGGGCGCATGACTAAATGTGATATCATGAAGAGCTCTTTGTGGAATGCAAGGAGACTCACCAAAATATTTACTGAAAAATGTAGGATGCAGAACAGCTTGTAAGGTCCAGTAGCACATGTGTGGAGGAAGGTGTCTGTGGCTCTCTCTGGGAGGGGACCTTGGAGACTGGGGCACAGGGGTGAGAAGAAGTCTTTTGTATCTCTTGAACTTTCAAAGAATAAAAACACTAAAAACTTTCAGGGACCTAGTGTCTGTGATTCTAACATGACTTGATTCTAATGTTTTACAGTTTGGTGGGCCTAACTCACTAGACTCTGGAAGGCTCATCTCTTGTCAGGCCAAGCTTCTAATAATCCTCCACCAGGGGTTCTCCAGGGCCCGAGGCCCTGCTCTGTCCCTGAGTGAGCCACAGCAGTCCCTATGAGCCCAAGAAGCCCTGAAGGAGGGTTCTCTACCTACCACGGTGCAGCTGCAAGGCCTCCGGTGTCTCCTGGGGACATCCACCCTTGGGACCCCCCCTCACCCTTTTTGACTTCTCTGTCCCCCTAGGGGAGCCTTCTCCGTCGTGCGCAGGTGTGTGAAGGTGCTGGCTGGCCAGGAGTATGCTGCCAAGATCATCAACACCAAGAAACTCTCAGCCAGAGGTAGGTGGGGAATCCATGACTTCCTACCCTCCGGGCTCTCCTTCCCTTTGCCCCTCCCTCTACCCATTGGCTTAGAACCAGGATCTGAGTCTGTCCCCATGGGCAGTGCTGCCAGCAGGTGTGAGAGCTCTTCTCCCTGTGGGCATTATGAGCAGATTCTTCCCTTTTCCTTCCTTAAGAAACCTAGACTGGAAGTCACAGCCTCTCTGAGGGGAAGCTCCCTGCCTCAATACCCAGCTCTTCAGGGTGCTAAGGTGCTAGGTGGGGCTTCCTTCCCCTGCTTGTCTGACACTCAACCCCATTCCCACCTCCAGACTTCTGCATCTGCTGTTTCCTCCGCCTGGATGCCCTCACCCAGCCCCTTACAAGGCTGACTCTTTCTCAACCTCAGGTCTCAGCTTGATGTCACTTACTTTGAGGGGCTTCTCTGACCCCCAAATCTGAGGGCGTCGCTCCCGTTTTATATCTCTCATTACTGTTTATTTTCCTGTGGCTTTCTGCCAACCTGGACTTAACTTATTTACTGGCTTGGTTCCTTGTTTAACATCTATCTTTCCTCTTGACTTGAAGTTCCAAGAGGGTAAGGATGGGTCTCATTCCTTGTGATATGTTCAGTACCTGGGACAGCGCCCTGTATGTCCCAGGTGCTCAGCCAGTGTCCAGGGAACTCGGGTGCTCTGCTTCAACACCACCAGGCTGAACTCTGGTCCCTAAGACTACCTAGGACAGTGACTTCCAAACCTGTCTGCATTGGAATCTCCTGGAGAGCTTTAAACACTTGCTGCCCAGGTCCTGCTCCCAGAGGTTGTGATTTAATTAGCCTGGTGTGTGACCTGAGAGTTGGAAAAGACCCCCAGGGAATTTTAATTGGAAGCGATCCTAGACCAGCAGCAGAAGCGTCATCAGGAGATGGTTAAAAATGCAAATTCTTGATTCCAGACTTAAGGAATCAGAGTCTGCCTTTCCACAAGACAGCCCTCTAAAACTTGGGAAGCCTGCCTGGAAGTCTTGCTTCTCGACTTTAGCAGGGATTGGGGGAGTATTGGCGGGGACCATGGCCAGTGTGTCAGGGAGACTTGTCTTTAAACATTCAGCCCCTGGTACGGACAGTGTCTAAGTGGTCTCCGGGGACCACTGGGAGGTGGAGGGAACTCTGGTGGGTAGGTTGCACAGGTGCAGGCCGTGCAGCCTGTGCCCTGTGGGAGGCGTTGTGGGCAGGGCTGGTGTAGTGTCCAGGTGTCTGCCTGGCACAGGCAGCAGCTGCGTCTGGACCAGGGCCCGGCAGGTGTGAGGTTCACGATGGCTGGTAGAGGATGTTCACGCCGTGTCCCACAGGCCTGCCAGCAGGCCCCATGTCAGCCCTTGTGTTGCTGCTTTTCATCCCTCTGGCTCAGTGTTATTGGGAGCCCAGCACCTCGTCTTAGTTACTGAACTCCCCTGTAGGCAGCTGGTGTTCTGCAGCAGGGAAAGGCTGGGGGTGGGAGTGGGTGTTCTGTGAAGGCCCAGGGTCCCCAGTGTCACACGGTCAGTGTGAAAGTCGATGTGAAAGGGAGAGACCTGTGACAGGGCTGGAGCCAGAGCCAGGGGCAGGGCCGGGGCCGGGGTGGCAGTGTGGCCAGCCAGAGCGCTGCCTTGAGTCCCGACACTGGGACTGGCCTGCTGTTGCTGCGTGACAGGTGGCAATCTAGGGCCCTCTCTCTGCTCTGTGTCTCTCATGAGCAAAGGAGATGTCCCAACCCTTGACAAAAGGTGGGGGAGGACTAGAACCAGGACTCCAGGTGACAGGTTGAGGTTGACCTCGAAGGAGGGAAGTCAGGTCCTTCCTTGGTGCTGGGGGTCTTGGGTCAGCTCAGCACACACACACGCAGATGCGTGTGGGGAAGAGGGGAGACGCTGCCTCTTCCCCAGGAGGCGACTAAGCAGTCCTGGGCAGTGTGTGCAGGCGGCCGTGCCAGCCAGGCCTCCTCTGTTTGGTGGTTTGGTGGGCTCCAGGGAGGAGAGCGTGGAGGATGGGAGTGGCGATGTTCTCAGGGGAACCTTTCCACAGAAGCCTGCCAACTGTCAGAGCCCCCTCCCCCGCGGGAGAGGAGAGCAGAGCTCTTTTTAGCAGGTTTCTTTGTTTGCCACTCAAGGTGCCCGGGGTGGGGAGTGGCTTGAGACAGAATATTTGGCAACACACTCTAAGCTTCTCCTGCTGGCACACCCGGGTGACTTTGGCAGCTCTGGGCAGGGGGGCTGTACCCACTCGGGGCGTCTGTCCAACCCCCAGGGAGCTGTGGCTTCCTCTTTCCCACCCCAGCAGCCCCTTCTACCCAGCAGGTACCCAAATCCAGGAGATATTTTTTTGGTACATATTTTTAAACTAGTGTTTTAAATAAAATGCTCATGAAATAAACACTTCTGAGAAACCATATAGGCATGAAATGAAAAGTAAAAATTTTGCCTGCCCAAACCCCTGCCAACCCCCCTTGGGCACCTTTCTAAAAATGCAGCTGCCCCAGCAGTTCCACCCCGGAGGGCTGGATTCGGCAGGTGAGGCCCAAGTGCCGGCATTGACGAATTCCTGTCCGGAGTGCGGGCTCGGCGCTGCCTCCCTGCCGGGGGTTCTGTGTGCTTCACAGCCCCAGCTCACCAGGCACACACGGAACCATTCATTAACGTGGCTGGTGCAGCGGGAGGTGACTGGGCCAGGTACAGGGACCTCCACAGGCCCCAGCGTCCATCCTGGCACTGAGGGGTCACTTCCTCGGCTCCCTGGTGATCAGTTTCCGGACACTGGCTGGGAAGCACAGCGTGAGCTCACTCAGGCTGCCCCAAGCTTCGGGTCCACCTGAGGGAGCCTGTGAGAGGGCAGGAAGACATCTTTCCTGCCCTCCTCATCTTCCTCCCCACCCCTGCCTGGCACTCTCCGTCCTCAGAATCATTCGCCCAGGACCGGAGCCCTGCGGAGGCCCCATGGAGGGCGGGGCATTTGCTATTCCAGACTTGGAGGCCTATTTTCTCTCCTGGTTCTTGTGCCTCTGGTCAGATTCCTGCTGCCCACCTGCCCGCTGGAACCCGGCCCCTCTGCCGACAGAGAGCCCTCCAAGCTGCCTGACTGCGCTCTCCCCATCACCCCTCTCCGACCTCTCCTCTGTCCCACCCTGCCCTCCTGACTGCAGTAACCCGCCCCCGGAGTTTCCTCCTACCTCTACCTGCTGCGCTCTGGGCAGCGCCGGCCCCCCAAAACCTAAGGAGGCACGGTGAATGTTCACAAGGTGTTCTGTGGGCACTGGGGGTGATCCACCCAGGCACCCAGGCCGGGGACTGCCGACTTGCTTCCCTCAGACCCCGCCCCATCGTGGGACTCCACTGAGCGGGATGTATTGATTTGACAATTAATAAATTATTAGAATGGGAGGCAACATAGTATAGTAATTATGAACATGGATTGAGATCCCAGCTCAGCCACCCCTTAGGTATGGGGTCTTGGATGAGCTGGGCTCCAGGCCCTGGGCACGTGGCAGTGACCGACAGACAAGGTCTTGCTCTCATGGCACCTGCTTTCTAGGATGCGAGACCAAAAAAAATGTGAAGCACACAGATGGGTAGTCCCAGGAAGTGATGTGTGTTGTGAAGGAAATAAGGCAGGGCAGTGGGGAAGTGGTGGGCACGAGGGACCCTCAGGAAAAGAGGGGAAGGGAGCCATGCGAAGGATAAGATCCAGGATGTAAGAGCGCTCTAGGCAGAGGGCACAGCAAGTGCAAAGGCCTTGGGGTGGGGAGGGCTCCGTGTGCCTCAGGCCCAAACTAAGACCAGTGGGGCTGGAGCTTCAAGGCCAAGATGAGGCAGGACCCAGCGGGGTCTAATGAGGAGTTTGGACAGTGTTACAAGTACACTGGGAAGCTGTTGGAGAGTCTGAAGCCCAGGAGTGACAGAATCTATTTCATATTTTAATAAGACCTCCTTGGATGCCCAGGACTTGACAGGTGGGGGCCAGGGGATGGTGCAGGGTGAATTCTTGAAGCTCTGAGTTCTTATAAGGCTGGACCATCTCAATGAGTGATTTTGATAAAGGGACTGCTCCTTCACCACTGCAGTTCCCCCACCTACATAACAGAGCAAGGCCTCAGAGGTCAACACAAACACAATCCCTGCATTTCTTTAGGTTCCCTGTACAGTACGAGAAAGTCAAATTATTTTAGAGTTATAAAAATCATTGTGTAACGTGTATGCTTCCATTCAATAAACTATTGCTTTCAGCACTGAAAGTTGCAATGCAGTGTCATTGTACTATGCACACGATGAGTGTAAGATTTATAAAAACAATTAGTTCCTGGCATTTCTAGCAGTGGGGCCTGGTAACCAGGCACACGTTTGAAGCCGTGTGATCAACTCTTTCTTCTTCCACCCCTGTCAGTCTAACTCTGTTCCTGTTAAGGTGGTGTGGAGAAAACAGAGTTCTAAATCTGCCCCTCTCCATGCGTGGCCTGAGCCAGAGGGCCCTCAGCCCCCTCTGACAGGCCTGACTTTGACCTGCCCGGTTTCTGGTTTTGTTGGGGGTGGAGGGACAGGGGATGGAGCAGGGGGTGGACCCAGCCTTCTTCGGCCCACAGAGGAGCCTCAGCTAGTCCATGGGGATTCCCCTCCTTTGCCCTGGAATTGACCTACCTCCCACCCTAAAGGATGTGCAAGGAGGCAGCGAGGGACTCATGTTAGGGGGATGCCCCTGGGTCCGCCTGCCCACCTTAGCCTGCAGCAGGTCTTTAGCTGGGGAGTTAACCTTGTACTCTATGAAAACTTGATTAGATTGTATTGCTTTGCTGACAGAAAAGCCACGTTTCAGTATTGATCTTGGCTTCTGTAGCCCTTGGAGGTTGGCCAGTGATTGCCCTAATAAAGGGGGTGAGGAAAGAGGACGGGGGCTGGGACATTCTCCATCCTCATCCCCCTTCCCGGTGCCTGCCTGCTCTGCTATCGGGAGACAAGGTTTCTTGTCCTAGCTCTGCCTGTGAGTGTCTGAGTGAGGACCCTCCAGTGGCCCTTGGTTTTCCCGTTTGAGAGCTGGGGGCAGGTAGAGGTGACGGTGATCTGTGAGGGCACGGAGAACAGCGTGGCACAGGGTATTAAAGCTCACCCATGGAGTCTGGCTGCCTGGGTCTGAAGCCTGGCTCTGCTGCTCACTATGGGTGTAACTGGGCCAGGAACTTAGCCTCTCTGAACCTCTGGTTCTTCCTTTTAAACGCCAAAACAGTAATCACACTTCCCTCAAAGGGTTGTAGTGAGGGCTTGAGATGCACATAAAGCTCTCTGCACAGCAAAAAGCACTCGGTAATTATTCTACCTTCATAAATGCTTCCTGCTCTACTGTTTTGTTTTTTAAATTAAAGCCTGTGAGACAAGCACCAGGAAGGGAATTGGGCAATACATTTTCAGTCTCAGCTCTGCCACCGACGAGGCTGCAGTTTCCTCATCTCTAAAATGAGGACAGCGATGCCCACGGCCAGGGCTGTCGGGAGGACCCGGTGGGGTATGACTTCTGGCAGCCTGGGAGTCCTAGACCACGGGTGGCAGATTCCGAAGCAGGCCTCTCTCCCAGGTGGGTGGGGAGACCCAGGGGATTTGGACAAATGTCCTGGAAGGCAGGAGCAGAAACCCCGGGTGAGCCGCATGCAAAGTCTGCCCTGCAGATTCTTTGGGGCTCTCTGCGTCTCTACAAGGGAGGCGGCTTCTGAAAATTGGTGCGGCTTTTCTGCAGAGAATACCGACCCTCTTAGAAAGGCTCACTCCTCTTGTCATCTGTTCTCCCATTCAGTTACTTTTGAGTACCCACATGTGCCAGGCATTTGAGTAGAGGCCAGGGGCACAGCAGAGACCAAGTCCCGCCCTCAGGGGTAGAGATATCAACAAGACAGAGTGGGATGCTCTGTCTAGGGTCCCCGAGAGCACAGCGGAGGGGCCCCTGCCAGCCCGGCAGTCAGGGCAGGCTGCTCGGAGAGGGCAGCATCTAAGGATGGGTAGGAGTGAGTGCTGGCCAGTGGAGGACCAGCGCTGGAGGTGGAGGGGGGCGTTCCAAGCTGAAAGAACTGGTGTGTGAGGGTCTGGATGAGAGGAGGGCTGAGCTGGGTGTATCTGGGGAAATGAAGTGAGCAGTGCTGTCTGGCTGGGGCGTAATGTGAGGGGCAGGGCTGGAGGAGGGCAGCAGGAGCCTGGCCTGCAGAGAGGCCCAGGCCTCCTGGAGTTTGGGTCTTACACAGGAAGGGGCTCAGGGATAGGCTTCATTGGAGGGCCCTGGAGACTGAGGTCCCAAGAGAGGAAGGGGCTTCTGCATCTTTGCAACTCTGGTCCTCTCCCTCTTCTGCTGTGTCTCACTGTCTCCTTGGACAACCCAGAGGCCCTGCCCAGGGGCTGCCCTGGGAGATGGAGATTGTAAAAAGCTGTAGGAGGGAGAGATGGAGCCGGTGGAGGTTCCTCCCCAACCTGGGACTCACCTGAGCATCTATTTGTGTTTCAGACCATCAGAAGCTGGAGCGTGAAGCTCGCATCTGCCGCCTGCTGAAGCACCCCAACATCGGTAAGCTCTTAGGGGACAAGTGAGGGGTACAGGGTGGGGCTCCCCCGCTCCCCCACTCCCCTGTCCACCCTGGTGGTCTTCTGCTGATGGGGTGGGAAGTCAGCTGCTCTCTTCTCTGGGGATGGCGGCAGCAGAGATGTCTCCGATGGTTTCCAGTTTCCTCAGAGACCAGCTTGGTTGGGGGGAAGGTGAAGAAGGAGCCCTTCCTCGCAGCCCATGCTGCCAGCAGCCTCCTTCAGAAAAGCTGTTTTAGGAAAACTCCCGAAGACTTTCGTCTCTTCAGAGAGACAAAAATAGGCCAAGCTTGGCCTTGACCAACGCAGCCCACATGCCTAACCCACCCCCGTGCTGAGTCAGTCTGGCATGGTGGTCCTGCCCGCCTGCCTAGCCTGGTGGCTGGCCTGCCCCTTGGAGGCAAGGTCCAAGGCGGCCCCTGCCCCAGGGATAGACTGAGTGCAGGCTTGACGTCCCCTCCCCCTCTCCTGCACAGTTGGGGGCGTGGGGGTGAGGGCTGTGTCCCTGCCCATCAGGGTTCTGAGTCATGAGGAGAGGAAGTACAGCTTCTAGATATAGTTCTGTCAGAAAATGGCTGTGTGACCTTGGTAGGAGCATGACCTTCTCTGAGCACTTTCCTCCATCGTCACAAGTAGAGGGCTGTGTGAACCACCTGGGCATCTTGTTACCGAGTAGATTCTGGTTCAGCAGGTCTGGGATCTGGGTGGAGCCCAAGATTTTGCATTTCTAGCATACTCTGAGGCTGCTGGCCCACAGATCACACCTTGAGGGGCAAGGTCGAGGTGCCCTCCAGGGAATGTTCCAACTCTGTAGCCACCACTGCTTCTTTCTCCCAGGGAGCATCTTCCTGTGCCCAGGGCCCCAAGGGTTAACCCTCCTGCCAGCGAGAAGCATCTCCATCAGCTATTTATACCCAGAAGGTACCTCCCCTTCCCTGTGCCTGGGAAAGGGAGCAGAGCTGCACCAGCAGCGCCAGAATCACCAGAATCAGGGAAGGGGAGGCTGGCGGCTGGCGGGGAGGAACTCTGGTTGTACCCCAGTCCCTGATCTGCTTCGGGCCTCGCTGTGTGGTTCCTCCTAGCCCCCCAGCCCCCAACTGTATGATGAAAGAGGCTGTGAGTGTCTCTGACTACAAAATCCCATGGTTCTTATAAAGGCTGTCAGCTCCGGAGGAAGGAGGCATGAGTGTGTGTGTGTGTGTGAGTGTGTGTTGCTGCACAGTCGGAGCTGTTTCAGGTCAATGCTCCCTCTTCCCATTTGCACCCCTCTCCTTCTCACTCCCAGCTCTAATGGGGAGCAGCAAGTCGTAGGCTCTGGGACGGACAGATCCCATCAGCAGCTGATGATGGGGCAGACCCATTAGGCCACCCCAGGGAGAGGGGACAACCTGAGAGTCTAGCAGATGATTTAGGGTGAGGAAGGGAGGTGAGGTTGGTTGATGATGAGGATGCAATGTGTCCATTTATTAAGTTCTTCCAGGCACCAGGCACTGTGTTGGGTGCCTTATGGGCATGACTGTAGAAAGCCCCCACTGCTGTTGGGGGAGGAGGCTCAGAGAGGTTGCAGAATCTGCCCGAAGTCACACAGCCTGTAGGAGGCATCACGGGGAGGTGAACCCAGCAAGTCTGACTGCAGGGCCCATTCTCAGCCACTCTGTGAGTTTCCCCAGCAGGCCTCAGGTGTGTGCTGTCGGGGCCCATGTGGCCAGAGGAACAAGCACTACCCTTCAGCCTCTAAGAAAAAAGTAACTGTTAGAAATATGGGCGGGGATGTCAGGAATTCGTGAGTTTGGCTACATAAGTGAAAACTAGGTTACAGAATTTTTGTTCAATGACAAAATGTTAAATGTGACAGCATAATTCAACAGGCGCAACAGACACGCCCATCTCGGCAGCAAGCAGGGCTTGGGGAGGAGTGGGGCCGTTACGCAGCCTGTGGCCCTGGGATTCTGCCTTTCCTCTTGGGCTCTGGCGTCTGCCGACTGGAGGGGAAGTTTTGTCTGTTCGAATGGCGGTGAAGGAAGAGGCCCATCTCCTGGGCTCCGAGCCGTGGTCAGCGGCCCCTCAGGGGCGGAGACTGGCTCCAGTGCCCTGCGGCGGAAGGCAGACTCTTACACTCAGCAGGAAAGCACCGTCAGATAAAGGCAGCTCTGGAGAATCCTCTCCCACCTCCCCTGCCCCTTTCAATTCTGTCCATTTCCCTGAACCCCAAGGACCTTCTCTGAAGTGTCTGGGGCTCCTGGTCAGAGGGAGGACCTGGGACCCCAATTTTGTTGGAGCTCCCCCAGATGGCAGCTGAGCAGCCCGAAGGGCCCTTTCTGAGGTGGTTCTGGCTGCAGCTTGGCTTCTCAGAGCTTCTCAAGCCCATTGGGACAGAATAGACAGGAAGGAGTCTGTCGCCAAGAGTCCACCTGGAGGAAGGTGAACAGAGAAAAGGGTCTTTTCCAAAATTTGACCTTGGTACATTAACAATGCAAGTTCATTGCACACATCTTTCCTCAGGTCAGGTTTCCTAGAAGCAGAGCCCTGGGTAGGGATTCGGACACTTGTGCTCCCAGAGGAGAACTGTGAGGGGTGGGGTGGGAGAGGAGGAGGGAGAAGGGGAAGGAGCGTGGCCCGAGGTCAAGTCCACCTTTGACCAGCTTTGAAGCAGGAGCAGAGTGCAGTGGGGAGGCCTCTGCAGGGTAAGTGCCATTTTGGAGTTGTCCCTCCTTCAGGCAAGGAGATTGGATCTTGTCACAGTCTCACCTGCCCACGCTCCTCGGCCATTGGCTGAAGGCTGCAGGCAGCCTGGTGGGCAAGGTGGTTCGTCTGCAGTGGGCAGTTCTCCAGAACAAGGAGGGCAACTGTGAGCTCTGGGCATCCCGCCTTCCCAGGAGCTTGCTGAGGGGGTCTGGGCAGGGCCTAGATGTAAGTTTGTTACAGTTTGCACACAAAATTCAGGGTGTTCCGTTCAACACACACAGACCCTTTAGAAGTTAGGCCTGCATTTGCTTTGAAATGCAGTCAAAGATTAAGATCAATGAATGGATGGGGAATGAATAGAAATGTAGGAAGGCAAGTAGGAAAAAGCGTTAACGTTAGATGCAAACCCAGGTGGTATGCACACACCCGTGTGGGACACACGGTTCACTTGACCGTATGTTTGAATTTTTTTTATAATAAAATGTTGATTTAAAAAAATCCAAGCAGAATTATCAACATTATTATATGTACTTTTAGGCTGCCTACTTTTTAGTTTTGCTTTAAAAGAGACTTAAAATACCTTTCAGTCATTATTTATAAAAATATATCACTTAGGAATTTAAATTAAAAAAATTTTTAATGTGTGTTCCTTTTCTCCTCCTCCACATCTTGGTCTCTATCTCCCCTTCTTCCCCTGCGGGAGGCGCCCAGTCTGGCGTGTTTGATGCCTGTTTTTCCAAACTTCATGTGTAGGCACGAGAGCCATGAGGAGTTTAGGGGGCACAGTACTGAGTCAGAAATACATGCACTTGGCTAGAATTCCAAGCACATTAAGATTTACAGTGAAAAGACTTTTAGGGTGAAAAGTCTCGCCTATCCATGACTCCTGCTCCTCCGATTCCCCTCTCCAAGGTGTCCCGATGCCCACCTCTCTGTATCCTTCCAGAGAGACTTATGACATACACAAGCTTAAATGCATCTTAAAAAAAAAGAAGGCTACGCACACTGTTTTGCATTTTGCTTTTCTCCAGACGACATAATTGAGAGATGATTCTGAACCAGTGAATACGTAACTGCCGCATGATCTTCGCAGCTGTGTAATTTTCCATCGTGCATTGCATCCTAACCCTCCCGGCCCACACCCCTGCTGTGGGCATTTTTAGGTTGTGGTGCAGGGGAGGACATGAACCTGTCCAGGGGAAACTTGCCCTTGGCTGGCAGGGTACAGGCTCCGGAGTCAGCCCCGGGCTCCAGGCCCTTCCTTTCAGGAGCTCAGGGGATAATTTCGGGAGCTCTGGGCTCCTGGGAGCCATGCTCTGCTCTTGGTTAATGAGGTAGGAGAGGATGACAGTTTCTCAGCATGGCAGAACTCGGGGACTGCAGTCACTGCAGCCTCCACTGGCTCAGTTATCTCCTCAGACCTGGACACAGATCAGGGCTGTTGGCTCACGGCCAACACTGAGTGACCACTGGCTGTGCCTCTGAGCCCAAGAATCTCATTCTGGTTGTCCAGGCAAGGAAGAGAGGCTCAGGAACATGTAGCGACCTGGTCAAAGTCACACAGTTAGCAAGTGGAAGAGATTTGAGCCACAGGCTCATTCCATGCTGCTAGTTTGCCCAGAAAAGAAACTGAGGGTTGTGGGGGGAGGGGACCAAAGTTTGACCAAACAAAGGGTCTGTTGTCTTTAAAAGCCCAGGCCTGTTTTGGCGACACCCAAAATCAGTGAGCCCCTGTTCACCTGAATTTGTCACAGCACCTGGTACCTAGCTTGTGCTCAGCCTCTGAGAAATTGCAATGCTGGCTTTTGGACCATGGGAGGGAGGGCCAGGTGGGGAACTGTGTGAGCTCATGCAACTGGCTGCCTTGGCTCCTCCCACAGTCCGGCTCCATGACAGCATCTCCGAAGAGGGACACCATTACCTGATCTTCGACCTGTGAGTTCGGGCCCACCCTGGGACGTGCAACACGTAGCGAGGCATCCTGGGCAGGGGTGACCTCTCAGTGCCTTGGCTAAGTGGGGGGCAGTCACAAGTGCCCCTCAAGTGTGCTGTTAAAAGTCTATTAAAAACCATAAACAAGACCTAGCCCTCGGGCTTCTAGGGACCTAACAAATCCCAGACATGGGTTCAGAGGGTCCCACCTTCACTCCAGCCTGGGCCCCCTGGGGGAGAAGAGCCAGGAGGGCAGGGAGGGAAGTTAGTGAAAGAGTGGGTTGGAAGCCAGGAAGGGGGTTGTAGCAGGCGACATCCCTCTCCCCCCCAGGCCCCTCCCTTTGGGGCTGAGTTTTCTGAGGTCCTCAGGCCCTGCCCTTAGCTTCCTGGAGACTCTTCCCAAGAAGGGGCACCTGGGGCCCGTGGGTGAGTGACTCTGCCTGTCTCTGCAGGGTCACTGGTGGGGAGCTGTTTGAGGACATCGTGGCCCGGGAGTATTACAGTGAGGCTGATGCCAGGTGAGTTCCAGGTGTGGCCTGGCAATAGTGCAGGGCATAGGGCATCTCGCCTGCCAGATTCCCCAGAGAGGCCCAGCTTCCCACAGCGACCCCTGCCTTTCTCTCCCCAGCCACTGCATCCAGCAGATCCTGGAGGCTGTGCTGCACTGCCACCAGATGGGGGTGGTACACCGGGACCTGAAGGTGAGAGTCCCCCACAGAGCGCAGCTCCCCAGAGCCTGCTCCTCTGCTCCTCGCCCTTTCCTTCACCTGCAGAGCCACTGATGTCATCAGATTCTCTTTGACTTCCGCGAGTTGGGCTGGGTGGAGAACGCTTCCCTCACTGTTCAGATAAGGAAACCGGGCTCAGGGAGGTCGAGCATCTGGGCTCAGGACCCAGGCCTCCTAACTCCCAGCCAAGCCAGGCGAGACACGGTTAGAAAGCCGAGACTGGCTATGGCCTGGTCCGGATCCCAGTAGGGCCACTTTCCAGCTTCAGTGTCAGCTTCTTTACATCAGGAGTTACCATAGCAACCTCTGCCCAGGTTGGCGAGCAAGTCAAAGGAGACAGCACAGTGCCTGATCTATAGATGCATCACTACTTTTGTTTCCGGGTCTCTGGCAGGTGGAGGGTGGGCGGAAACACAAAGAGGCCTTGAGGCCCCTGGAGCCCTCTCTCTTCCCCCTGAAGAAGGAGGTGGACAGGACAAGCAGCTGTGGAGTCCAGGGTTGGCATCGGCCTGGTCAGTGCAGACTTCATAGCTCCCCTCTGCTGGGTCACATGGCCTCATATCTCTCATGGGTCACTGGTAGCTCACATCTCTCCCTTTTTGCAGAGCAGGAAACTAGGCCTAAAGTGTCCCAGGGATTTGCCTGAGAGAACATGCAGCTCTGTTGTGCCTGAGCTAAGATTGGAGCCCTGGCCTCTGACCTCAGATCCCAGGCCCTGGGTGGTCTGGGGCCAAAAAACCAGTCGATCCAGCTCCTGCTTCCGCACTAGCCCCTTCTAGGTGACCCGGCTGGGTATCAAACCTCTGCTGTTTGGTCTTCTGTGACTACAAACTCACTTCTTACAGGGTAGCCCCCTGCACCATTGGGAAATGTTCCTTCGTTCTTTCCTGCTGTGGAGATTTTCCCCGCGAACACCAGTTCTACCCATTGGAGCCACACAGATCAAGCTTCCATCTCAGAGCAGCCCTGGAGGCACTTGGGTGGCTTTGGAGTAGCTCCTGAGTCACCGGCAGGCTATTCACATCCCCACCCAGGATAGGACTTCCCGGCCCTTCTCACCCTGGACCCTCCTCAGGCGCCCTCCTCCACTCAGTCCTCTTTAGGGTGCAATGCTCTGTGCAGGACCCCTGCCCACCTCTGACTGTTATGAGGAGTCCATGGCTCCTCCCCTGAATGCAGGCGAGCTCCCCGCGGCTCAGTCTAGACTCAGAAGCAGGAAGGTCTCTGGCCAGGCTGCAGGGTGGCTCTCCCGGAAGGCCTGTTCCCGTTCTAGCTGCGGCCCTGCATGGGAGGAGGGTGGAGAAGAGGCAGCACAGATTTAGGCCACCGCGGAGAGAATAATTAGTCTCGCATTCATCAAATCAGGGCAGGACGCTTACTGAGACTCAGGACACGCGGAGAACACCGTCCCCAGAGGACAGAAGGGGCCTTAACAAGCTGTATCTGTTTGTGGCCTGGCTAGCTTTGGGCAGTGAAAGGCCAGATGTGGGACTCCCTTGGAAATTTCAGTGGGTATGGGGGTCCGAGGAAGCCAGCTGTCTCTGGAGACTTGGAGCCCCGCCCCCACCCCACACAGAAAACACGAGCGCTGGTGCTTCCCAGCCCTTGCTGTGGGCCCCTAGGAAGCGCTGGGTCTTTCAAATTAATCTGTCTGCCAGCCCAGGATGTGGGCATCCTCACCACTTTCCTGCGAGGAAACCGAAGCTTAGAGAAGTGAGATCATTGATCCAAATGCCACAGCTGGAATCAGAAGCTGCAGCTCTCTATCTAACTGGAGAGTCCACACCCTTAACTCCTCTCTGCCCTGACTGGGGCCATTTCCTGTCCTCCAGAGCCCCCAAAGGCAGCAGCCTCAGCACCCCAGAGGCCAGGTGGCATGTCAGAGGCCTCTATACCCCCGCTTCCCCACCCTGCCTCCGAGTTTAGAGTGGGTAAGAGCACGGCTTGGGATCCAGACTCTGCTTCGATGCTGGATCTGTCTCTTAACCAACTCTGTGATCTTTGTCAAGTCGCTTAACCTCTCTCTTAGCCTCAGTTTTCTTCTCTTTCTACACATGACAAAGTGTCTGTTACGTGCCACTGTCTTGGGTGCTGGTGATACAGTGATGGACAGGACAGATTAGAAACTCACATACTACCGAGTAGACAGATAATGAACAGGCACATAGACAGATGGGGAAAAACGTTACAAACTGTAAGGAGATCTATGAAGGTAACAACAAGGGGCTAAGACAGAGGATCCCTGGGGGCTCCTCCTTTAGATAGAGTGGCCTTGGAGGGGGCTTCTTGGAGGGGCAGACATGAAGGTCAGAGTCAGATGAAGGGAAGGAGCTAGCCCTGTGAAGCTCAGAGGGATACAAAGTAGGCAGGGGGATCAGGAAGTGCAAAGGCCCTGAGGTGGAAATGAGCATGACTGTTTTATGGACTATAATCAGGCCACTGCAGAGAATGGGGCTAGTGATGCCTACTCCAAAGGTTGTTGAGATGGTAAATGAGGTGATGTAGGCAAAACCCTTAGCCTAGTGGCTGGTACATAATAGGGACAGAATAGATATCGGTTCTTTTTTCTTATTGTGATGGTGGCTCTTTGCACCAACCTCCATCCCCCACCCTCACCTTGGCCCCAGCTCCAGACCCTGAGAGGAGGGGGAGGACGGGAAGGAGGGAGTGGCTGGTGCAGGAAGGGTCTTCCTGTTGCAGAAGACAGAGGATTGGCGGTGGGGCAGTCCTCTCTCTGGAGGCTAAGGCCAGGGTCCTGGGTTGGAGCTCAAGGTGGGGGTGGGGTGCCTCTGCATTATCCAGCTGTTCCACCTACAAGCCCAGGCCCCTGGAGGTGAGTCTCTGAATCTGCTCACTGTCCTCTGGCCCTTTCCTCCCACCGTTCCCCTCTTCTCTCTCTCTGGTCCTGGGAAGCCGGAGAATCTTCTGCTGGCCTCCAAGCTCAAGGGCGCCGCGGTGAAGCTGGCAGACTTTGGCCTGGCCATAGAGGTGGAGGGGGAGCAGCAGGCATGGTTCGGTGAGTGGGGACTGGGGGTGGCGGGGTGTTGGGGTCCAGCCTTGTGTTGACATGTTGGCCTCGAGGAACCCTCGGCCTGAACAGGGGCAGGTTGCAGAGGGTGTTGTGCCACCAGGGCTCAGGTAGCAGACTTAACGGTCTCTCTCCACCCAGCCTCTGGGTCAGTGGGTGTCGCCCTCTGCCTGAGGTTCAGGTGCAGGAACACACTTATTCAAACAGCACCTAGCTTCTTCACATGCACATACATCTTCACTGTGGGCCGGAGGCTTCCAGGGGTTTCCCTGACGCCCTAAGTGCCAGAGATTACGGATGAGGAACAGAGGCTAAGAGACCCAGAGAAGGTCAAGGGAGACTGAAAGGGGTTGAACCAGGTTTTAAACTCAGATGACCCGCAGGCTCTGAGATTTTGGCATCAGTGAGTCCTTTTTGGCCATCTGGGGATACTTTTTAGCGGGCAGTATGGATCAATGGTTAAGGGGCAGAGCTCTGGGTTAAAATCCCACCTCTGCTGCATATGAGGTGTGTGCCTGGGCCTTGTTTCAGCTCCCCCAGCCTGTTTTCTCATCTGTAAAGTGGGGATAATAATAGCATGTTCCTCGGGGCTGTGTGAGGGTTAAATGAGATCAGGAGCAGAAAGAGCCGGGCCCTGCCGGGAGATAGGAACTACTCTTATGATTACTGGTTAACAAATATTAGGGCTGTTCATTACTTCAATTTATCCTCCCAGTAATGCTGGGAGGTATTTAAGATAAGAACCCCTAATCCCTCATTTGACAGATGAGGGAACTAAGGCCTAGAAGGCACAGCCCTGCCCAGGGGACTGAAGGTGTCACTGGAGTTAGGGACAGGTCTCCTGCCACCCCAGGACCTGCTCCTAGAAGATGTGGGGAGTGGCAAGAGTTCAGCTCAGCTTGGGGCTCCGATGGCAAGGACATCTCATCTTGAGTGCCACCAGCAACTGATGGCCAGTGACTGCTGGGAGGATTGTGCTAGGTTGTGGTGCTGAGTCAGGGCCCCATGGGAAGGACTCTGGCATTCATCAGTGACTTCTGCCGTAGGCCGTGGAGAGGGGGTGGTGACAATGTCCCATGTGCTTCTCTGCCCTGGTCTGGGGCCCGATCTGGGGTCAGCGGGTGGTTCTGCTGTTCCTCCAGGGCAACCCTCACCCCCCTCCCAGCAGGCTCTTGCTCTGGTTTACCTTCTATGTGTGTGTCTGCCTGTCTGTGTGTCTGGGGAGCAGGGTTCGCAGGGACCCCTGGATACCTCTCTCCAGAAGTGCTGCGGAAGGACCCGTATGGGAAGCCCGTGGACCTGTGGGCCTGCGGTGAGTCCTTGCAAAGGCCCTCGAACCCCTGCTACGAGCGCTTCCAGCGCCATCTCTCCTCTTTCCCAGCACTCCCCTCCCCCACCGCTCCTGCTCACAAGGGTTGAAGTTTCTCCCCGGTTGTCTCCCCAGGGGTCATCCTGTACATCCTGCTAGTTGGGTATCCCCCGTTCTGGGATGAGGACCAGCACCGCTTGTACCAGCAGATCAAAGCCGGTGCCTATGATGTGAGTGTTCCTCTTCTCTCCAGCTGCCCTGCCATCCCTGGGTCCCCCTCCAGTGAAAGCCAATGCCCAGCGAGGTCGGGTCCCGAGGATGACCCCCCCCCCCCATCTAGGTCTCTTTGCCACTTGCTAGTTGTGGGGCCAGGGTTGGACAGCAGGTGGAGCCTGAGGGCTGGCTGAGGCCAAGTGGTGAGCTGGCTGTGCCTAATGACTGGGGCCTCCGAGTGATGGGGCTGAGCTGTGAGACTCCAGAGGGCAGAGGCAGCAGCAAAGTGGGATGAGAAGTGGGGGAGGGGACAGGTGCCAGGAGTCAGGTTTGCTCTCTCTCTCTCTTTCTCTAGATATCAACCTATCAATCCACATACACACAAATAATAGTAGCTCACATTCATAGAGCACTCTTCTAAATGCTTTCTATATATCATTACAGTTAATCCTCACACCAATCTATGACATAGGTACTATTATTGTCCTCATTTTACAGGTAAGGCACAGAGAGATGGAAGAACTGCCCAGGTCACATGGCTAAGAAATAGTGGAGCTGGGATTTGAACTCAGGCAGTTTGGCTCTAGCATTTATGCTTCTAACTACAAGCTATACTGCTTTTCTACATGGCTGGTTTCTATCACGCTATGCGCCTGGTATTTTATACCATATTTAATCTTCACTACACCTCTGGGGATAGCTTGAGGGGTCATGTGACAGGTCACACAGCCCGGGTAGCAGACTTGAACCCAGCATTGTGGTCCCAGAGTCGGGGCATAACCACAGGTCTGTTGCTCTCCAAATAAGGCAGACTCAGAAGAGCAGAGGGTAACCCTCTGGCCATTGTTCCGATTTGTCCTTGGGTCAGAGGACCCTGGCCCGCCGCCTCCTGGTTGTGGATGCCTGAGTAGATAGGCAGTAGGACCCCTGCCTGCTCCCCTGCCAGTCAGGGGCTGGGGGATCGCAGGGGTGGCCTGGGGTAGGCTGGGCAAACCTGGCCCCTCTGCCCCTTTCAGTTCCCATCACCAGAGTGGGACACTGTCACCCCAGAAGCCAAGGATCTGATCAACAAGATGCTGACCATCAACCCGTCCAAACGCATCACGGCCGCCGAGGCCCTCAAGCACCCCTGGATCTCGGTGAGCCTTCCTCAGCAAGACCCTTCCCAGGAGCCCCTCCAGACCTCAAGGTTAAGTCCTTCGTGGAGTCCTAGCCCTGTCCCTGGCTTCTCAGGCCCAGCCTGGTACCAAGAAGGCTTGATCCAAGAGACACCGAGCATGCCACGGTTCTCAGGAAGAAGGTGGAAATGGGATGCTGGCATCAGGACTGGGTGCTACTGGCATTGAATGTCTGGTCCCCTGCCGTGTGTACAGCCGCCCTAGAACAGAGACTCACTCCCCCGAGATGCCAGCCACATCCACAAGACTCCCTGCCGAGGGGCCCTGGGGTTGGTCTGCCTCCCATTCATAGACCTTTCCCCCCTCCAGCACCGGTCCACCGTGGCCTCCTGCATGCACAGGCAGGAGACCGTGGACTGCCTGAAGAAGTTCAACGCCAGGAGAAAACTCAAGGTAACAGGTCCTCACCCTGCATGTCCCCAGACGTGGGAGTGGCCTGGCCTGGGTCTCCACAGCCGCCAGGAGACCGCTCGCTGAGTCTGTCCTTCATTGACCTGTTGGACACTCGGTGCCCAGGCTGGGCAATGAGTGGTGGAGGAGGCAGACGTGTCGCCGGGACGTTGTGGGGCAGTGGTCGGTGCTGTGATCACACGCCCCCAGGCTGTGAGTATCCACAGCGAGGCCATGACCAGGTCTAGAAGGACCAAGGAAGGACCAGGGAAGGACCCTGGAAGTCCTCCTGGGCAAGTCACATTAAAGCCGAGACCCCAGAGGATTACCAGGTGCGAGTGGGGTCAGAGTGGGCAGATGTTCCGGACAGAGAAAAGCCCATGTAAGAAGTCTGGAAGCGTGGGCTGGATCCCTTAGGGGAACTGCAGTGTTTCAGCACAGTTGGAGAGAGGGTTTGGAGGTGACATGTGACAGGGCAAGAGGCCATGATGAGGGTGAGGCGCCAGCTGCCAAGCATGAGAGAGGAATGGCCCAGAGACTTGGGTAGGGTCGTGACTCCAGGGAAGGTGCAGCGGGATCTAGGCGGGCCCTGAGCTGTGGCCTGAGTAGGTCCTGCGTGTTCTCAGGGCCGGGACAGCTCCTGGCCTGGACCTTTCCCGTGATCCCACGAGCAGGCAGGAAGAGCCACCAGGGGGTCCCCAGCTGGTCGGAACAGAGAAGCCATCAGCATGCTGAGTGACAGATACTGAGGTCCCAGCTCATTGGGAACCTTCTCACCAACTGCTCCCAAGCCTGGCGTGGTGGCACAGGAAAAGGACGTCGGCTGAGAGGATGGCAGCCAACACGCTGCCGGGAAAATTATCATTAGTCCTCAAAGGGAACAGTCCCGGAAGTCTCAAAATGTCAGAAAGAGCGATTCTTAAAATCGCGGACAGTCGTACTCAGAGAATGTCCAAATGAGGCAGTGTCAGGACTGAAGGACTGTTGTCCCCAGCACCTTCATTAACAGAAGAGGGTTTTCCCCACAATAATCCTCCAGGCTCCCAAACCCAGGGATGATGGAGGGACACATGAGTGCCAGAGTCGGGTGCTGAGTGCTGTGGGCAGCGGGAGGACGGGGGCGGGGGCCAGGGCGCAGGGTCCACTGTCCTTTCCCAGGCAGGAAACTCCTTTGGTCTTTAGCAGCCTCCACGGACAGGTGGCCCGGGCCTGTCGGCCAGTTCCGGCCAGGCCGCTGGAACCTATTAATATCTGCCCCCAGGGTGGCCCTGTCCCTGGTGTGGTTCCAGCTAAGGCTGAGCTCGCCCTGATTTCTCCAGGGAGGTGGAGGGTGGTCCCTGGGCTGTGGGGGAGGGGGCACGTGGAGGGGCAGAAGGCTCTGGCCCTGTGTCTGAATGGAGCACCTTCCTCTCCTTCCCCACCCACCACCCATTTCTCTGTCTCTCCCGCCCCCCCCCCCATCTCTCCTCCACATCCTCTCTGCTTACCTGCCTCAGGGAGCGATCCTCACCACGATGCTGGCCACCAGGAACTTCTCTGGTAGGTAGCGGGACCTCGAAGTCCCAAATATCTCCTGCAGGAGGTGGAGACGTTGCCATGTCCGCTACCTGGGCACCCTCAGGCCAGGGGGCCTGGGGAGACTGGGGGCTCCAGAGGACCCCGTGACTGGCAGCTTAGCTCACGTGATGCAAACTGCACCCAGAAGTGGTGAAAGGTCAAAAGTCAGCAAGCTGAGGGCCCAGCAGGAAGGGTCGGAGGTTTTGTCTGCCTCCCCCGACTCACAGCAGGGCTGGGGTTCTCAGGCCAGGCCAGCCAGAGGGGAAGGCCTCTTGAAGGTTGGGGTCCCGGTCTCGGCGGGACTGAGCCAGGCTCGGGGAGTGGCAGTGCTCCTGTTCCCTGTCCTTCCCCGAGCCCTGCGCTAAGCAGTCCCCGTGCTTTCACTCACGTGCCCTGCAGGACGAGGCGGTGGGGGCCATTGCCATCCCTGTTTTCTGAAGGAGGAGACTGAAGCACAGGGAGGTGACCGTGATGGGCCTCGGGTCGCATCGCTAAGGGGAGGCGGAGTCTGTTTGCAGCACAGGTTAGACCCACCCTGATGCAAGGGTGAATCACTAGAGAGTCCAGGGTAGGAAGGAGCCTTTGGCCTTGGCCAAGCCAGGCTGGTTAGGGTGGGGAGTGCCCAGTGACCTGTGGCATGTGGCCCTGAAGAGAGAAGGGAAAGGGATTAGCGTCGGGGTTTAGCAAGAAGCTCCCCCTGGCACATTGGAGGGCTCTGGAACTAGGGCTGCGGAAGGCTGCTCTCTGGTGAGCCGGAGGCTGGCGGGGCATCCTAGGAGATATGGCAAAGCTCACCTGAGGGGCCCTCTGCCTGTGGCTGGGCTGCAGCAACCCGGGAGGGCTGCTGCGGTCACATGGCCGGCCCTGCAGCCAGGGCGCGGCTCCGGGCAGCTACCTCCCAGGCTTCGCAGAGGGGGTCCACCTACCCACTTCACCAGCTCGAAGAATGAGACCAGGGGTGGGAAGACCCTGGAACTTCGGACCTGGGCTTTTGCCACTGCCCAAACGGCCTTCCTTCCCATCCCTTCCCAAGACAAGGACCCTGCAGCTCCTTAAACTGAAACCTGAGCCACCCGCAGCCAGAGTCTTTTTTTAACAGCTGAAGTGCCCCTGGAGAACTTAATCCCCAACTTGCAAAACGACGCCCTCGGGTTAGGTCCAATCTCTAGATGTGCACAGGGCCAGGGGTGTTTGTAAAAAAATTTGGGGGGAGTTTTCAGCTCTGAAACATCAGGAGGTTTCATGGAAGAGCCTAGGTCTCTGTCTTCTCCTGAAAACCAAAATATGTGGTCTCACAGAGCCCACTGTCTGACAATAGTGGGCTGGAGACCAGAGGGGCACCTTGAGGCCGGAGGGGCAAGCACTCCCTCCACCCCCTCCCACCCCCCACCCCCCGTACAGCCTAGTCCAGCCCACAGAGCCCATGGAGGAAGGACAGCCATTCCCCTCGGCTTTGGATCCAGAGGTACCCAGCCCCACACCTGCTTCACAAGAGGGAGACTTTGAACGGCAGCCTGGCGGGGGCCACTGGAAATGTGAGGGTGCCTGGGAAGCTGGACAGACAGACTGTAAGCTTCATCCTTCAGAGCCCCTGGGGCTGCAATATCCTGTACTCCCCTGCCCCGTCTCTGGCTCACCCTCTCCATGCCGCCAACAGAAGCACAAGTGACTGCCATTTACTGAGCATCTACAGCATAGAGGTCAAGTGCAGTGCTAAGTGAGCACTTTATGGATAGCCTATCTCATTTAACTTGAGGCATTTGTCTGAGATCTGAGCAGCCGGATACCAGGGTGGATAGGGCTGGGCACTTCCTAGCTGGTGCCCTCCCTCTCCACGGGCTCTGGCCAGGAGGGGGTGGGGGAGGGGGAGGGGAATGACGGAGGTGGGGGCTCCCTGAAATCTGTTGCTCAGCTTTTCCTGGCTACCAGGGCCAGAGCCAGCCTGGAACTCTGGAGTTTGAGGGTGGGGAACCCTCTGCCAGGATGGGTGCTCTGGCAGGGGTGGGCTCAGAAGGGGGCATCTGCTTCTTGTCACTGGCAAAACACGGCTCGCAGCTGTCCAGCTCGAGTAGGCAGGGCTGACACATGACCTCTGCAGCAGCATGGGGCTAAAATTAGAGCCGGCGGGTTGGGGAGGGAGGGTCCAGCCCTGCGCCGGGCGGCTGGGCCTCCGGGTTGGCCACCACCAGCACCGGTGGGGACTGGCGTCCGGAGGGAATCCCCAGGCTGAAACAGTAAACCCACGGTCTCGGGGCGCACTGGACACCCTCCTCGACCTCAACCCATGGGGCCAGAGGGTCACACTCGAGATCCCTGAGAACTGGGGGAGCCCAGGCCCACCTAGTGGGCCACCGGCAATCCCAGGCTCCGGAGGAGGGAGGAGAAGCAGGAGGAAGCGGTCTCCCCGGATCGCGGAGCCGGCTCCCGCCCTCCGGCCGCCCGTAGATGCTGCTCTTCCTGGCCCTGTGGGCCCTGGTGCCCTGCCTGGTGTTGGTGACCCTCTACTTTCTCTCCTCTATAGGAGGGAAGAGTGGAGGAAACAAGAAGAATGACGGTGTGAAGGTAAGCCCCCCGGGAGCCTGCCAGGGCCTGCTCCGCCAGCGTTTCCGGCAGGAGGGCCCAGCTTTCCAGCCTGGGGTGAGACCCAGGTCTTGCTGATGGTGTTCCGGGCTGATGCCATCACTACTGCGGCCGGGTCACCCCCAGACCCAGAGGCCTGGGTTTGGGCGCCCACCCTCTCACCAGGATTGGCGGGGGCAGGCGGGGCAGGGGGAGGTTTGAAAAGAGGTGGGAGAGGCAGGTGGCCTTGGGTTGGAGCGGGCACAAGGAAAGGGGCAGGTCCCAAGGGGGTTTTGGGGATGCTCCAGGGCGGGAGGACTGGTGAGTGAGAGGGTACAAAGAAGGAACAGAGATGGTCACGAGGGACGACCTTCCCTTTCCTGAGTGCAGGCTGGCTGGGACGGGCCCCTTGCCCGAGGCACACCTCAGTCCCACCCACAAAGCCTGTGGGGGACGGACAGCTGTTCCCTTCCTCTCCAGTTTGGATCCAGAAGTAGCCCCTCTCCATCAAGGCCTGCTGGTTCAGCGCTAGGCAAGCCCCCCGCCCCCGACCCAGGCTTGCCCTCTGCCCACCCCATGCCTGATGCCCGAGCTACTTCCCTACACACCCCACGACTTCTCCTCCCCTCCTCCCCGTCTCCCCCCCTTTCTCTCTTCCCTTTGCTCTCTGGGCCCGATGCCCACTCTCTGCAGCTCCCTTCTCCCTGCCACTGGCTCGCCTTGTGGGTCCTCCTCTCTCGAGACCCTGCCTTTCTCTGGGCTCAGAGCCCTGCCTGGCCAGGGACTGAGGGCTGGGCTTGCCCAGGACACTGGAAGGTGTGGGATGCTGTCCGGTCATCCAGGTGGGAAGGTGGCTTCATGGCTTCATTTGTAGTGGCATTTATGGTCTCAGGCCTCTGGCTTTGGTCAGTCAGGTTTATGTGAGTGGGTGTCTGGGCTGGCTGTCGGAGGCCAGGGTTGGGGTCACCCCTCAACAGGCTTGAGTTTTCCAGAAGATACAATGGGTGGGTGAAAGGGGTGTGAACTCCATGATTTCCAGGGTTTTAGCTTTAAAAACACACAAGCAAACGAACGAAAAAACCCAACAAAACCCTATCTAATCACTCTCCCTTCTCATCTTGGGTGCTTGGGGAATAATTCATAATTATTTGGTTATCAGCTAAGGTTGGTGGTCTTCAAACTGAATTCCTTGGAGCCCAAAGCTTCTGGGGAGGCACGTCCAGCAACAGATGGGGTCGGGTGGGATTGGAAGTGGGGGCCAGCAGAGAAGGTTCTGGGCTTCCCACGCCCACTCCAACAAGAGCGGATCCAAGTAAGAGCCAGCACCATGGTTAAGAGAGTCTGGGCAGGGTTAGCAGACGAGACCTCTGCTGGTCACTTGGATGCCCTGAGCCTGCATTTCCTCGTTCACGCGACGGGGGTAGAAGGGGTTTCCACCTCACAGGGATGTTTGTGAGCAAGAGCCAAGGTCATCTGTGCGAGGGGAGAACGGCAGCTGTTCTGAGGGCCCAGTGTGGTGCGGGGCATGTGACGTGTGCTCAGTGTCACTGTCCTCTCTGTTTTATATATCGGACTTCGGGTTAACATTTGTCTTGAAAACAAAGTTTGCTCAAGAACATATTTGGTAGTCCACAGATGCAAAGCCGACACAGTTTCTAAAGTTAACAGGCGTGCATCCCAAATCTGTAATGGGATTCAGAACAGAGCTTTGGCTTGCCTGCTGCTTTGGGTCACCCACGAGTCAAGCCCCTTATCTGAAAGGGTGACGAGGGGATTGTGCATCGAAAGGGTGGTCTGGTCTGGAGCTGCTGGGGCCCTCTCTGGCTCTGGCTGGGGTGCTGGGTTCCCCGGGGGAAAACTGGTATTTGGGAGATATGGGACAGAGGCCGCAGGAGCTGGTCAGTGGAGGAGGAAGGGGCAGAGGGCCGGCTGTCCTGTCTGTTTGGCTCGTGGGTGTGGCCGTGGCAAAGGCTAACTCAGAGCTCCTGGTGTGAGGTCAGGGCCTCCCTCAGGCGGGGTCTTGGAACAAGGCTCTCTCTGATCTGGCTCTTCTTCCAGCGAGGCCAGGAGGCAGACACTGTCGGGGGGCAAGGACATGGCGTGGTGGGGCTCTGGCTGGTCGTCACAGGGCTTCCCAGCAGGCACAGCTGAAGAAAGTGCCCTCCTTCCTGCAGCTCAAACAGGCCCTGAGTGACTTTGAGGGGTGGCCTGAGTGTGGATGGACGGGAGCTCAAAGGCTGCTGCTGGCCAGACAGTCTTGGCATCCTTCTTCCCTTCCTTGGGGTTGAGAAGGAGGAAATCTGGCTGGCAGACCAGAGTCAAGACCAGGGGCCTTGTCCAGGACTTGAGGTGCCCTGCCTGCAATTTGTCACTCGAGGGCCCGGTCCTACTTTCTCTGTGCGTGAAACTGAGCCTCCAGTCAAGAAGCCAAGGGTTTGAGTCTGGGCCCCACCACTCCCTCCCTTGGGGCCTGCGTCATCACTTCTGTCATCTGTGCAAGGGGAGAGTGGCGGTCTTCCGGGGCCCTGGTACAGTCGTCCTGTGCTTCTTTGGCTGGCACACATTCGGCCCGAGTGGGGACACAGATTCTTCCTGCAATGTCACCCTGGAGACAAACTGCTGGTGTCAGCCAGGGCTTCACTGAATTCCCAGTGACTGGTCCCAACACCGGAGGGAACCGGCCTGTGGGAGTGGGGTGGGACACAGTGCCGCCCTTCAGGGACTGACAATGGCCTTTCGAGGCTGAGCTCGGCCGCACTTCGTCCTGCCATCCTTGCCGACCTCAGAGCCATGCTTTTCGCCATGTGGTCGGTTCTGAGAGAAATGACTCTGCTTGCGGTGGAAGCCCCCGAAAACTAAACTCCAACTTGCCGGTCAGTGGGGGTTATGACTGGTATTGTCAGCCCTTGTGACTCAGGGGAACTAGCGTTTCTGTTACCAAGAAGCGATGTCCCCTCTCAGCCACCCCGAGACCTCTCTGCCACGTGGAGGGGCCGACTGCTCCCGCCCCGCGACCCCACTCACTGCCCCTGTTGGTGTCCCATCCGTGCCGTTGTGACCTCTCTCCCCCATGTCCCATCCTGTCACTGTACGTCCGAATCTGACGCAGTCTCTGCTCTGTGTTGCCTCCTGTGTCCTGCCTGGAACCTCCCGGCATCCCCGGGCCACTCCTCAGGTTTCCGCTGACAGCTGAGGTGAGAGGGCCCGTCCCCTCCCACAGACTCCGTGCCTGGCCAGGAGGGGAGGAGGAGAGAAGGGGGAGGCTGACTGCCGGCCACCGGCTCTGGCAGTCGCACCGTCAGGCCCAGCTGGCGCAGATGCAGGGCCTGTGAGCATTTACATGGGAAATGCCCGGTGATCTTGGAGTCAGAAAGCCCAGCATTAGACCTGAGGACCCTCAGAGAATACTGAGTGCCTCTCCCTGCAGGCCTGCCCCAGGGGCACCTCCAGTCTCCTCCACTCTCCCCACAGGGCAGCAAGGAGGGCAGCCTCCGGACCGCAGACGTAAATCGTCTGGGAAGTATAAGCCACTGGAGAGTGGCCAGGCTGTGGGAGCCGGGGGCCCGGACAGAGGAGAGAGCGGCGCTGCAGGGCCCAGCCTCTGCTCTGCAGACAGCCAGCCGAGAGACCTGCGGCCGATCATCTCCGGGCCCCAGTTTCTCATCTGCGCGATTCAAGTGTCATCTTGACCTGCAAGCTTCTATGAGTACGAGTCTCTAAGACTCCTGGCTTGGAGCTAAAAGCAGGAGAAGAGAATCCCCATTTGCTCTCTCTCTCCTCCCCTTGGTTCTACAGCCAGTAACACAAGGAAAGCTACAGAGTCGCCAAAAGTCAGAACAGGGCACCTGGCAGGGCACGAGAACTGAAATTCTGGGCTCTCTGTGCGTCTGGTTGTGCCTCAGTTCCTCTCTCAGCATAAAGGAGCTGGCTAGGCCAGTCACTGGGAAGCTGTGAACACAGGCAGAATTGCCAAGGCCACTGAGAGGATCGGCTCCCACACCTGGCCCTGCTCCGGAGTATCCTGGAGAGATTATTTAAAACGGAGACCCCCAGGTTCCACCCCAGACTGAGTTACCAAACTCCTCGAAGGGGCCTGGTTCTGTGTGTTTTCGACAAGTTTCCCAGGTGACTATGACACTTGGGGTCCTTTCAGCAGAGACGCATGGGGAGTCTAGAAGGAGAGATTGGTCCTTGTCTCAAGACCTGAGCGCCCCTTTGTCCTTCAGTGACTTTGGGTTCTGGAGGCCTTGGGCACCTGGGTCCAAGACCCAGGGTCGACTTCCCCATCAGAGCCTGGAGCAGAGGGAGCCCTGGGCTGAGGGGGCTTGACCTGGAGCTTGGCGATTGGATTGTGAGACGCAGGCAGCTGTGCACGAGGCCCCAGAACTTCAGGCTGAGAGAGGACTGGTCCCACCAAATCAGCTGATGCTGGTGGCCCTGACTCCTTGCCCCCGTGCTGGCAGGGGACCACAGAGGATGACCCTGAGGCCCGTCCTCCTTCCACACCTCCCCTGTCATCCGTTCCTCTGCTCCCTGCCGTTTTCACGCTGTGTCTTTTTCTGTCCCATTTCTTCTCCTTGTTTTTCCAGAAAAGAAAGTCCAGTTCCAGCGTTCAGTTAATGGTGAGTGTCTGCCGTCTCCCAAACGCCGGTAAATGCTGGGCCTCGACCCCTCGCTCCTGCCTCCCTCCTGCAGGCTGCACGGGGAACCCGGGGCGGGGAGAGGGTGCTCAGGGCGTGCTTGGTATGTGTGCCTCGTGTGACACTTTGTGCGTTGTGTGTGTGTGTGTGTTGTTGGCGTGTTTCTGTTGACACCTCCACCTCCATGGCCCAAACCAGCACGCAGCCTGATAGTAGGCCTGAGAGCTCCGCTGGGTAACGAAGGCGGATTTGACCCCCATCCCACACCCAGCCCTTGGCTTCTTGCTTCTCCTGCCCCCTGCTCTAGAACTCATCTCAGGGCTTGGTTTGTGCCAGGTGCAGCAAGGGTGGAGGGGCTCAGTGTGGCCAAAGCAGCGGGCACTGTGGAGGCCCTTCTTGAGCAAGGCCGCACGGGGCCTGCCGGTGGCAGAGGAGCCGCCAGCCCTGCCTTGGTCTAGATGTTCCAGCGGTGGCACGGTGGCCCACGCCCTCTTCTTCTGACTCCATCGCTGTCTCCCTCACTCGTGTGGTTTTTCTCCCCTGAAGAGCCCAGCTCTCTTGCACCGGGCGTCCGTCCCCCTACCTCTCTCTCTTCCTTTTCTGCCAATGTGTACATCCCTTCCCCATTCCGGGGCCACCATGTGCCTCTCTGCTCTTTGACACCTCCTCTTTGCTCCCTGAAGCAGAGAGAGCCCAGGAACCCTTCCCAGCCCTTCCAGAAAGGCCAGGGATCTCCTCGCATCCATCCCTCCGTCCATGGCCCCGCCACCGGCCGTCTGCTTAGCTGGACCCTTCCCCTCCTTAGGCTCAAAGGTCTGCCAGGGTTTTCAGGGGACCATCTGGATGTGAGAGCCCATGAGGCTCCCAGAGACCGGGCCACAGCGTCAGGCAGCTGGGGCAGCCCTCCATTGGCCGCGCCCGTCCTGCTGGCCGGGCTGGCCTCACCACTCTCTGTTCTCTCTGGCAGGAATCTTCAGAGAGCACCAATACCACCATTGAGGATGAAGACACCAAAGGTAGGGGGGACCTTGCCTCCAGCACCGGGGCCCCCGGGCCTCCTGGGGCCCCTTCACTGACAGCCCCATCGCCAAGCCTGCATCCTGCTCCTCTGGACGGAAACTCGCTTTGGTTCCTTCCAGACTGAGCGCACCATTTTCCCAGGTGGGGTGCTCAGCCTGCTAGTTGTACCGAGCTGGATGTTTCTTATTGCAGGGACTATGTATTTACTTTAATATGTGTCAGAAAAAAAATTAATTTAACATGTTCATGTCATAAATGTATCCTAGTGGTATGTATTTTCCTTTCGAAGTGCATGTTTTCTGCATTTATTAAGTGCACTGATTTAAAAAAAAAAAACACCATGATATAATCATCGTAAAGGAAGAGAAAGCCAAGATGCAAAAAGTTCAGGTGCATGGGAAGTATGGGCACTGCTGCCAGGAGCCATCCAGAATGTGGGAGTGACTGCGGCTGGCGACCGACCGTCCTCCAAAGCCCTGCCGTGGACGAGGGAGCAAACCGCCAGCTAGCTGTGATTGGAGGGTCAGGGAGGAAGTAGTCGGGACAGTAATGGGCACACGGCAGCCTTCGTGGGGATGCTCGCTGTGGGCCAGACTGGCAGTACTTCATACCGACCTGAACTTCATAACAACCCTGGTGGGGTAGATGCTGGGATGGAGCCCCTTCCACAGCCCCGGAAACAGAGGAGTGGAGTCGACTGTCCCCAGGTCCGGTAGCTTGTAAGGGTAGAGTTAGAACTCGAGCCCAGGCAGCGTGACTGCAGGGCCCGCTCATAACCACCGCTCTGGAGGCCGTGGCGTGTGCAGTATGGGGAATGGAGGGTGGAACACTGTCTTCCGGTCAGGGGACGCCAAACCTTCGGATGAGGTGGGGACACTCTGTGTCCTTTCCGCACCCAGCCCTCCACATCCCACTGGGATGGGGAGGCCAGAGCATCTGGGCCTGGGTCAGAGATGTTCAGATAGTTTGCCTCTAAAAGGATACAGTGATGTGGAAAGAGCATTTTGTTACATAATAAATGTTTTCGCACAGTTGCAATTCCGGCTTATAGGGCTGTTTTGATACGATAAAGGCCGTGACTACCTCTGGACTCTGCCAGGACCCCCTGGAAGACCAGGCCCACCCTGTTCATGCCCCTTTCTGGTCAGTCCCAGATCGGGCAAGGGGGGTGGTGACTAACGCCATAGCCGGGCACTAGAGCAAACCAGTTTTCTATGAAGGCATTAGTGACAACCTTTAAAAATATATATTATCTTGAAGAAGAATTCCAATGGGTGGGGGTGGAGCAAGGGAGAGCAATAGGGGAAAAAAAAAGAATTCCCTATTAGGGCCAAGTCAGTGTTCTAAGTCCCTCCCAGAATGATTTTCTAATCACATTCTGGCCCTGCCCCTGTGCATTCTGATTCTGTACTTTTGTGTTGGGCTGAGACATGGTGTTTCTAAGATGGTCCCCATATTTGAGGCTTGTTGTCACAATGGTAAGGTTGAGAGTTTGAGGAGACTCATTGTGGCCCCATAACCCCGGTCTCAGAGCAGACAGGGACCACAGAGGCAAGCTAGTTCTGTGCTTCTTCACTGGGGTGCATTTGCTGGTTGACCTTGGACAACTTACTCAACCTCTCTGAGCCTCAGTTTCCTTAGCAGTACAGAGGTAATGATAATAGTTCCAACCTCAGAGGACTGCTGTGAAGATGAAATGAGAGGCTGCATATAAAGTGCTTACACAGTGTTTGGCACATGGTAATTGTCTAATAAATCTTGATTTTTAAAAAAAACTAGAGTTGTGGTTAACAGGAAGCCACATGACATTTTTGGAACATCGATTTCACTGAAAGATTATTTCAAGGCAAATATTTCTATATTAAACAGACAGGAAACTATTTAGAAGGGAATGCAAGATTTGTATGTGCTGCAAATGCAGAATGAAAGCTGCCAAAGACATTTGCCGCCTGGGGTAATGGCTCTCGGGGTTGCACCTCGAGGACCCACCTTCACGAGGTAGTTCTCTGCTTTAGAGAGAGCGGGATGGGAAATCTGTGGTCTTGAATCTTGTTTAGCTCATCCAGGCCCCTTTTCCTGGAGGAAATCTGAGGCTCGTGGACGAGGAAGGTCACATGGGGTCATTAATGCTGAACCGGCCCCGTTCCCTGCCTCAGTGTCCCCACATGCGAAGGCCACGACGCCGGCTCAGCCAGGAGCTTTCCCCGTGTTTGGCCAGGAAGAGGAGCACTGTGCCTTCCTGAGGCCTCAGAGAAAGTTCCGGAGAGCCCTGTTCTGGTGCTAATTTGTTAAGCCTTCTTCCTAAGTGAGAATGGCAGCTGGTGGGGTGGATGCTGAGCTAACATTAAAGTTAATGAGAAATGTCATCCTCCAGGGAACACTTTCTCCTGAGCAAAGAGAGGGACGTTAATATTTCAGAGCACCTCGGGGTTCATCCCCAGGCCGCTCACCCCGAGTTTTGCTGGGCTTCTCCCCACTCCCCTGCCTCCTCCGGGTCAGCTCCAGGAAAAATTAATTTCTTCTGCAACCCAAAGAGGAACCTCAGCATCTTGGCAGAGACGTTCTGGGAAATTTCAGCCAGAAGCACTGGTCTCATCTCAGCCTTGGCATGCTGTGCGGCCTGGAGAGAGAGCCCTAACCTCTCTGGGACCTCAGCTTTCCCATCTGTCAGGGGGCACTCCGGCACTGTCAGGCGAATGCCTGGCAGATAGAAATGCCACAGGTTAGTCTGAGCAGCTGCTGGACGAACCCCTCACACAGCAGTGGGATTGCCGAGGGCGTGGGCAGGGCCCAGAACCAGAGTGGATTTCCCCTGATTTACAGAGCACTAGATCCCCAGATCTTTTTCCCAGAGACTGAAACAGCCAAGTTAGGCACTGCCTCGGGTTGCATTGATAGAGGTATAGTGTCCAGAATGTGGAGTGGATAGAGTGCTACTCCAGACCTGGTATTCTGTCATATCCAAGCCACCCCGGGACTGTGTGCTTACGCTAAGTGAGGCGTCCAGATCGCCCAAAGACCTGGGAGAGCAGATGGCCCCTCGAGTCAGACCCTGCAAACCACATCCTGGAGGCCTTCAGCCCTGAGAAGATTGCTGGAGGGGAAGGGCCTAAGTCCGGGGTGCAGGGAGCAGGTACTCAGCGCAGGGCCCCGGAAGGCAGAAAGGGACAAGGACAGTGACTAGGGGCTTTCAGGGGACAGATTTCAACCTGAACAAAGGAGGAGACAGGCGCCAATGGCAGGAGCTGCCCAACAGCACAGCAGGCTGCCCAGGGGGCTGGGAGCCCCCAAACGCTGGCCCGGACGGAACCGCCACATGCGGGGCTGCTGGGGAGTATCCCTGCCTGCAGTGAGAGGCTGTCCTCCGAGGACCTTCCCATTCAAAGACTTGAACGTGACAGTAATCAGAGCCCTCACTTGTGGAGCGCCAGATGCTGCTATTTTAACGACATAAAGCATCGTTAATTATATAAAGACGTTGATACAAAGGGCTTGGAACAGTAGCTGGTTCTTAGCGAGGACCACATATGTACCAGCTATTTCTTCTGATATATTCTTAAGTCACATAGTCAGTCCTCAGAACCACCCCATGAGGTAAGTACTATTAGTAGCTCCATTATACATATGGGGAAACTGAGGCATGGGGGATACCCCTTGCCCAAGGCCACAGTTTTTAAGAGGCAGAGCCAGGATCCAAACTCAGGGAATCTGGCTACAGAACTGACCACTTCGCTGGCCTGTCAAGGTGGCAGGGAGAGCAGCCCAGAGAGGGCCGGGCGTCAAGCACAGGCTCAGGGAGTGACTTCCAAATGGAGGAGGCAGGGTGGTGGCACCAGTTCCATGCCTTCGGTGAACCCACCTTGACTCCAGGTGGGAGAGGCTGGAATGAGGTGTCTCCTGGCAGAGGTGGGTTTTCTCCCACCCTCAGCCTCCAGCTTCTGTGAAGGAGGGCAGAGTTGGCCAGGAGGCCGGGCTCTTGGGTTCCCGGGGGTAGAGGCCACCTGGTGACTTAGGAAATTTCAAGAAGCAGGGCAAAGACGGCAGCCTCTGACCCTGGCTTGGTGCCACTCACTCATTTGTTCCTGCTGCCTCCGCTCCAGCCCCAGGCATGGCCCAAGAGGGACCTGGCAGAGCTCAGGGTCTAAGAGGGACCCCTTGCCAGCCCTGGGGATTCATAGTGGAGCTAAGAGAGAAATAATTGGTCATTCACGATGGTAGCAGACATTGAAGATGATGATTGCCATGTCTGCTGAGCGCCCACTGCGTGCCAAGCACTGTGCTGGGCAGGGCCCCTGTCTGAGGGGAAGTGGTGTGCGTGGGGTTGGGGATGTGTGATGGGCTCTGGAGCTGCAGACACTGGGCGGCTGGTCCCCTGGTGCAGGCCATTTGGCTTCTCTCACCTCCAGTTTGCTCATCTCCTAGGTGGAAGTGATAACCACAGGAAGGTGTGCTGTGAGCCGTAAGATTCTGCAGGCTGGGCACACAACACAGAGCCTGGCACGCTCCGGGCAGGCCTGTGCCAGGCTCCCGGGTCTGGCAGTCAAGGGCAGCCATGGCCCAGCCTCCGTGAAGCCGGTATTGGACTGGGGAATAGACAGCATACAGGCCCAAAGTGGCGGGGAAAGTGTTGGGCACTGGAGCCTGCGGTTAAGGTCCTCGGCTGGGAGCCCACCTCTGCGCCTTATGTGTTCTGTGTCCTTGGACAAGTCGTAACCCCCTACCAGGCCTCTATTTCCCCAATAGTTTGATAATGAGGCTGAGTCCCTGGTCTCCAGGGGTTCTTCCCGCCTGGCTGCTCTGTGACACTGTGTCCTCTGGGTCTGAGGTGAGCTCCCCAGTATGAGTTGGGGTGGAGTGTCCTGGGAAGGGGTGCGGAAAAGGTCAGGGACAGGGCCTTAGCCAGGCAACCTCTCTGTTCCACATTCCCAGATCAAGAAATGGGCTTCATGTCCATTCTGGTAGGACTGTCCTGGGAGCCAGGACACCTGATTTCAAATTCCTTTGCTACTGAGGCTCAGTCTCTTCAGGAGTCGGGTGGGGAAACCGGCCCTGCCCAGCTCCTAGGGTGTGCACGAGGAGCAGTTGTGTGTGTGGGGGGGTTAGTAAAGGGCACTTGCACCGCATACCTACTGTGTGCCAGGCTTTGGTCTGAGTGCTTTGTGCACAACCCATCATCCCACCTTCACACCCAGCCCGGGTGGGGACACTGTCATCTCATAGGACAGCCCATAGTTGCCCACCTTGTAAGCGTTTGGGCTGGAATTTAGGCAAAGCCTGTCTGATCCTGAAGTCTGGGTTCTTTCCATAACACTTGTGGCACTGAATGAAGGAGAGGTGATGGTGTCTCCATTTGACAGATGGGGCCACTGGGGCTCAGAACATGACACACCTACTGAGAAAAGTGACGTTTGTTCTTCTACCAGAAAGACAGCTACTGTTCATGTTGTTTTGGGGATGGCAAGGGAGGCCAGGTCTCACAGCAAATGGGATTCATTATGCCTAGATAGTTCTGGAAAGCTCAGTGCCTGATTTCCACAGGCACCCCAATGGAGCAAAAGGCTCCCCCAGACCTAAGGAATGAGTGAGCCCTGAGACATGCTGTAGCAGCCCAGTCTGGGCCAGGAGAGAGCCCCTGGTTCATGACTGCTAGTGGCGACCACCACACTTGCCTTGTTTGATTCGGTGGATAAAGAGAGGTGACAGGGAAGTGTATTTTGGAATCAAAACAGGTCTAGGTCAGAATGCCCACCATGGTTGCTTTTTGGAGGCAAAGGCTGCTGGCTAAGACACTGGATCTGTCCTTGTAGTTGAGGAAGCTCCACACCTTTCCCACCTGTCTAGGCCTCAGCTGCTTCTGTGGAATGGGAGTGATACCACCTACCTGTCGCAGCTACCCTGAGGACAGATGAGGCAGTGTGTGGGGGGCCCTCAGGCACATGAGGAGGACTCAGGAAATGGTAGTTGGTGCTTTATTACTGTCAAGATTGCTGCTATTTCTGTGTCCTCTCCTGCCTTGCAGTGCGGAAACAGGAAATTATAAAAGTGACAGAGCAGCTGATTGAAGCCATAAGCAATGGAGATTTTGAGTCCTACACGTGAGTTGGCTGGGCCCATCCTGCATGTCCTCCTGCCTGGATTGTTGTCTGGGGGGCTGGCGGCTGACTTCAGGGATCCTCATGTCTGATCCCCAGTCGTTCACTCTGCATGTATTGTGAATCAGAATGAACTCGTCTTTCCGTTTGGCATTCAGACTTTATGCTTTTGTTAAGCTTTCTGTTCATAACACTTCTCCATATCTCAGTCCTGCTCCTCCTGCTCCTCATATCGAATTCCCCAGGAGATAAGCTGGGAAGGAGGAGAGAAAGGCAGGCCCTTCCTTAGTCTTGCTGCATGGGCCTGGGTCTTCCAATCCGGACCTCCTCAGACCTCTGACCTCAGCTGGGCAGCAGTGGGCAGGAGTCCATAGGGTGTGCACCTCCACTGAGCAAGGGTGAGCAAAAGAATCTCAAAGTGGAACCTTAAATCCTTTGGAGAGTAAGGCAATGTGCACAAAAATAACACAATGAAACAGGTGGTGTAAGAGGTTCCCTACACACCTGGGCCAGCCTTTGGAGGGGCAGCTGGGTGCAAAGGCTGGGCTGGAGCGCCCCCTGGTGGTCACCCACACACCCTTCCTTGTCTGGCCCAGAAGTGGGCCCTGAGACTGCCCTCAGCTGGATCCCTGGCTGAATGAAGCCTCAGTCTCTTGGCCAGGGCTGACAAGGCCTGCATCTGGAAACCCCACATACGCTTTTTAGTGAACAAAAGCTGCCCATTAAGGCAGAGTGACCCCTACCTGTTGGGTTCAGGTGAGGTGGGAACAACCCAGTTGGGGTTTGCTCTTTGGGCAGCCTATTCCTGGTTTCCACTACGCCCAGGAACTGAAGTGTGTCTCCCAAAGGCTAGGCAGGTCACTGTGTGAGGATTCCCACAGCAGGGGGTGCCAAAGCCCCGGCAGTTTACTGGTGGTCTTTGGAGGAACAGGACCCGGGAAGGTGCAGGTGTGAGACTGAGGCTACACGGACCTGGGTGCGCATGCACTTGTCCTGGCATGCACCTTTGCGCTGTGTGCACGGGGGTGGCACGGGTGTGTGTGCACTGGGTGCTGCTTCAAAGCATGGGAATGTGCTGCTAAATGGGTTTTGCTCTGGCCCTAGAGAGTTAAGTCAGCCATGGGAGAGCCAGAGAGTGGCTCTGGTAGGGCACAGCCAGGGACAGAGAAAAAGAGGTGGCTCTTGTGGGCCCCAAGCCTCCCAATGCCACTTCTGGGGCCTGCTCCCACCTATGTGATGTCACCTTCTCTGGCATCTATAGTTCACTCTAGGTTCTGACAGCTTTCCATGACCTCTGGGGCCTGAGGTGCCCTGGGTCTGGCCCTGTGTAACCCTGGATAAGCCCCTTCATATCGTGAGCCTTGGCTTCCCTACTTGCACAGTGCAGCTGGCGTGGATGGTCTCCTCCTGAGGCAGGGATGCCCTGGGACCTCCTGGGACCACAGGGGCTTCCCCAGTGCGGGTGCTCAGCCTCCTGGAGGCTCAAGCTCAGGCCCCCAGGCTCGGAGGATTCTGCTGCTGGAGGGATCCTGAGCATCCCCTGTGGTCTGAGCCCAGCCTCCCAGCCCCGGGTTAATCCACCTGAAGAACTTGAGGTCCTGAGTAGAAAAGCAGGTTGCCTGGGTCACAGGGACAGGACAGTCGCAGGACAGCACTGGGACAGAGCACCCTGCACTGGCCATGGTGTCCAGCTCAGAAAATGCTGAGCCTGGCACCCTCCTACAGTTCACCCCCACCCCCATATGGGGGTCTTTGCTTTACCCAGGGTACTTTCTGTCCCTGGCTTCATTGTCATCTTCTCAGGAGTCCATGTCGTGCCGTGGAGACCTGGGGATAGGGGAGACAGTTTTTCCCTCTGCCACCCAGCTGTCAGGGTCTGCCAGGAGACTGAGACCTGGAAGGGAGCACTGCCCTGCAAACCCTTGGCCGAGGGCCTCCACGGCCATGCCCCCTCCCCGTCCCCCTGAGCATTGCCTTGTGGACCACTCTTTTCCTCATCTTCCAGAATAGAAAGAGGCTTCCAGTGAGGGCTGCTAACAGTAGGGAATCTTCGCTTGAAGTAGCACAACGTACCCTGTCTAAGGACAGACCTTCCTGGCGAGCAGAAGTCACTTTAATATGAAGGAAAAGTCTCCTTCCCAGGAAGACAAACTAAGAAACCCCCCTTGTGGATCTGCTGCCCTGGGCAGAGAGGGAGGATGGGATTTGATGTGGAGCGTAGCATCTGGGCTGAATCGTGCTGGGCAGACTCTGTACACCATTCATGCAGAATGAATGAATGCTTGGGGGCGTTAAGCCACCTGCTGGGAAAATGGCAGAGCCAGGACGTGAACCCAGGCTTCCCAGTTCTAAATGGCACCAGCCAGGCCCCACATTGCACAGTTTGCTAGCCCCTTTCCCATCCATCTGCCTCACTGATCTTGTAAGGTGGGTGCAATCACTCCAGTTTCACAGGCTCACCCTCCTTGAGTCCAGGCCCAGGATGAGAGGGTGGTGCTGAGAGGCCACCCCAGCCCCTCTTTCCTCTGACTTCCTCCTGCCAGGAAGATGTGTGACCCCGGGATGACTGCCTTCGAACCCGAGGCCCTGGGGAACCTGGTCGAGGGCCTGGACTTCCATCGATTCTATTTTGAAAACCGTGAGCAATCCCTTCTGTCTGGGGGCCTGTTGTCTGCTCTTGTTCCATGTCCTGCTGGATGGCACAGCAGGGTGACGGGCAGGGCACCCAGGGCGGCTCAGCAGCCAGCGAAGAGGAAGACCCCGTGTGGACAGGGGTTGGTACCGTCTTGGCTCCCTCTCCTAACCTTGGCATATCCAACTGCCAGCTGCCCCTCCTGTGGCTGAGGATGGGGACCTGGGAGAAGCGTGACAAGCCCTCCCGGCCTTCTCCGGCCTGTGACCCTCCCCAGGGAGGCCTTATTCCCATTTTACAGATAAGGAAGCCTCCCCATGAGGGCACACACCGAAGTTCCAGGCATCTTAACACCTGGGACCACCCCAGCTGCCCTACTGGTCACAGGCTGGCTCATGGGTTATTATGCAAGGGTCCCCCTCTGGGTGGGCAGTCTTGGGTAGAGAGGCCCCGAGCTCACGCTGCTGTGCCCTGCCTGTTTGTCTAGGTCCCTGTCCACGTGTCTCCTTCCTGGGCCCCTCCTCTGCAGGAGAGACCCAGCAGCTTTGCACCCGGGGGCTGTTGGGGGCTGAGCCTGGGCACTCTCTCACTGTGTCTCACCTTGGCCAGGGGTCAGATGGGGCCCCTGCAAGTTAGGATCATGCAGCTGAGAACTCGGAGGAAGGCCTTGGGAGGTGATATATCCAGGGTCTTCCAAAGGGAGGGCCTGGGCCACTGGCGTTTCCTCCGATGGCTCCAGTGCGAGTGGGCAGTGCACCGGCGCTCAGTGAGAACGCCGGTCCCTTTCCAAATTCTTCAGTACGTCCGGCTCCATCGAGGGCGAAGGCTCCACTGGGTGCTAGTCCGTCTTGGATGCCTCTTAACACTTTCTAATTTTCCTCTTCGTGGAAGAGAGCAGCCATCTCGGGCTGAGACCTCGTGCAGGCAGGAGTGTGGAGCCAGGGTTACGTAACTTCAGTTCGTTTCCGCTGGACTTAGGAAAGTTGTGTTCTGTGATACTGGGTGTTCACTAATCATTGTGCCAGAATGTTCTCTTGTAAAATACATTGATATAAATTAATAACGTGCATCGATTTAAGAAAATATTTTAATGAAGTACAGGTGGTCCTTGTAGGTTAACATAAAGGTGAAATTTAAGTGACTAAAGTAGAATCTAGTCCAACTCTTCATCACACCGAAGGGGAAACTGAGGCCCAGAGAGGGGAGGTGACCTGTCCAAAAGAACCCAGAGAGTCAGTGGCAGACCCTGGGCCTGACTCACCCCGGTGCCCGTCCCTTCCACGTGCTGCTGCTCTCATCCCTGCATCCTGGCCACCAGGTGGACGATCTCGCTTGCACCCAATCTGACCGAATCTTATAGAGTACAGGGGCTCAAGAGCACCCCCAAAGAGCTGTGAAGAAGGAAGCTGCATTTTTCCTCGATCGATCAAACTCTGATTCTCCAAGGTTAGCAGTGGGAGCTGAGTTGTCATGCGAAAAGAAATGGCTGGGCCCCCCAACAGTGCCCATCGCCCTGGAGCCCCCTGGCAGATCACCACAGCTATCTCTCCACTGGTCTGTCTCTGGGGGTGCTGCTTCCCTGGTGTACACTCCACAGTCTTTGCAGAGCGCAGCAGAGCAGAGACTAGGCTGAGCTGACTCTCCAGGCTCAGGGATGGGAAAAGGGAAAAGAACACAGAGAGAAGCCTGTGCTAGCCCTTGGCCTACACCTGGGCCAAGGTCATAGCACCAGCCCCCTACACATAACTGCCCACTCCTGGCCAAGCCCCGCCCTCCTGCCTACCCTTTCCTGCTGGAGCGCCTGGCTTCCTCCCCTGTGCTCTCTGCTACAGTGGATGTTGAAAGCCTGCAGTGCGTTCAGGACAGCACATTAGGGTGGTTGTTTCTTTACAGATGCCCCTTGGGGCCCCCACCCTCGTCAAGTGCCCTCAATGATGTCGAGCTCTGTTTGTCCCTTCTGGGATTGTTCTAGATTGTTCTAACTCAGTTGCACATGGAGACTGACTTCTTTTAGGTCCTACTGCATTTCTTTTAGAAACTGGGCTAGCCTGGGACATTGATTCTCTGGGCCTCAGTTTCCAGATCTGCTAAATGGATCTGTTGAACTGGATCATCTTAAGTGTCTTCAGCCCTAGGTGCTGTCGAGGATGCTCACGGAGGCCTCCTTGGATTTTGCAGGAGGGCCACTGGGTGACCTCTGACCTCTGAGTCATTTCCAAGCCTACAACACAAAAGCTGGACATTCTCTTTGTAAGCCCAGAATTGTAAGAGTCGGTTAGTCTACCCATCTAAGACTCAGTGATTTTGAGTACTTTATCCAAAGCCTGAGTAGAATGTGATTATAATCTTAGAATGGGTACTATTGGAGGCTTTCTGCAGTCTTGAAAATTAAAAAAGGCATTCCAGATTTTTCAGGAGATCAGTGACTCACAAACCTGGCTGGGCATCAGAATCAGAGAGGGTGGGAAAGGGGATGGGGGGGGTTCTTTTTACATTCTACAGATTGTTTTTGTTAAATGTTTTATTTATTTTATCCGCACCCGAGGACATGCTCACTGATTTTAGAGAGAGGGGAAGGGAGGGACAGAAACATTGATATGTTCACCAATTGGTTGCCTCTTATGTACACCCTAATGGGGAACCCCTTGCAGGTGCCTCCGCTGGGGACTGAACCCTCAACCTAGGCATGTGTCCTGACTGGGAATTAAACCTACGACTTTTCAGTTTACGGGATGAAGCTCCAACCAATTGAGCCGTGCCAGCCAGGGCAATGCTATAAGCTCTTCAACTGGGACCTCTAGGGGGCAAACATGCTGTCTGTGGGGTCTGGACCTGCATCTGGGCAATGCTAAGGAAAAGCACAGGGTTGCTCTGGAGCCCAAGACGCCTGTGGCTCGTGTCCAGCCCCTTGCTGGGTCATCGTCTCTCTGTGTTTTGTTTTCTGTCTTGCTAAAAAACATGAACAATTCCTACAATCAAAATAGGTAAAATAAAAAAATAGCAATGGTGGATAATATCCCCATAGAGAAAAAGCTTCAGATATTTTTGTCAGTTCTCACAATTGTAAAAGCTAGGCACCCCTCCCTAACTCTGAAATGCCCCATGACCGCACCCTGTGACCGCAAGCGCCACCCTTACAACTCCAAGACTGTGAGAGTCCACAATCTTAATATTCCCCAAGTTTCCATGATTCTACATGTCGAGGATAGAGGTGGCAAATGAGTGGCCCACAGGCCGTATTTGGACTGCACATATGTTCACATGGCCTGCATGATGTTTTAAATTTGGCCCATAATTAAAAATGAGACATTTCCACATAAAAATCCAGATTTCTAGATTTTTTTTGAAAAGTCAGAAAGTGGGGCAAAATGGGTCCCAGTTACCCTCTGTAGATGGGATGTGGTGAGTAGTTCACCACAGTCTCCACCACTCCCTATTGCATCCCTGATCCAGAGGCAAATGGTCAGGCGTCATTTAGCGTCTCATACCCAGCTCAGCCCCTCATACATGTAGTTGCCTGGCCTGAATAGTGATCTGGGTTCGAAACTCTAGTCTACACTGAATTGATTCTATAATCATCTTCGTCCTATATTTCTGTGTGTTTGAGACACTACAGTTCTAAATTCCATTTCCCTGGGCCTGACAACTTTGCAGTGTCTGAGATCCATCATATCTAAGCTGGGATATGACCCAGTCACCTAGAAGTTCAACCTTGCCCCCCAGGTAGCTGAGCCCTGTCACAGACACCGCTTCTCTGGAAACGAGGCAGGCAGAGGGGCCTCTGCAGGGAAGGTGGCTGGGAGTTGGGGAAGTGAAGGAAGTCAGGTGGGAAGCCCCCGGTTTCACCGGCTCTGCTTGCTCCCGTCCCCGCCTGCAGTGTGGTCCCGGAACAGCAAGCCGGTGCACACCACCATTTTGAACCCCCACATCCACCTGATGGGCGACGAGTCGGCCTGCATCGCCTACATACGCATCACGCAGTACCTGGACGCCGGCGGCATCCCTCGCACGGCCCAGTCCGAGGAGACCCGCGTCTGGCACCGCCGGGACGGCAAATGGCAGATCGTCCACTTCCACAGATCCGGGGCGCCCTCTGTCCTGCCCCAGTAAGAGCCCCTCCTTCTCGCCATCTGTCCTTAGGACCATCTAAAGGAAGTCCATGGGGTGGGGCGGGAGGACCACAGGAGGAGACCAGGCGTGCGGGCCTCTGGGGAAGAGCTGGGCGGGTCCCGTAGGTGGCAGCTGGAACTCCATCTCAGCAGGAAGGCCGGGTGGTTGTTGGAGGAAAACGGGGCGCCCCCAGGTGCACCTGCACACCCATCACACATATCGGTGTCTTCCAGTTGAAGGACCGGGCTGGGGCGCAGCGCCGCAGAGAGCTACTCTTCAGCCTTGGAATGTCGCTGCTGTTTCTCCCACCTTGGATTTTGCTGGAATTCCCCCAACCACATCACTCTGCTACCACCACCACTGCTGTCACCTTCATACCTGCGGCAAGAAAACTTGCCCCCCAAAGCCTCCACGTCTTCAAAGCAAACGGCCACATTTCCCTGCCTCCGGCCTGGCACTCTCAGTCTCTGTCCCCAGCCAGGGCAGAGCTTCCTCAGGCCTGGGTGCCCTGCATGCGGGCCCCCAGGACCCCCCCCCCTGGCCGAAGGCCAGAAAGCCCAGCTGTGTGTTCACCCAGGGGCTGGGGAGAAGGAGGGGCAGAGTTGGGAGACCCCTGATCACTCCTCTTCCAGGGGTCTCCCCCCCACCCCCGCCCCCGGAAAAGGCAGAGGAAGGCCCCCTCCGCTGTGGGAGAGCGAGAGAAGAGCAGATGCTAGGAGCCTCACCCTGCTTCAGACTAGGGCCCGGCCTCTTCTCCCGTCCTGCCCTCCCTCCAGGTCTCTGCCTGCCACTTCTCCCTCGAGGGGGGAGCTCGATCCTCTCAGGGTGCCCCCACTTTTTCCTTCCTCCTTCTCTGATGTTTACTTCCAACACTACCTGCCCATTCCACCCCTCCCTCCATCAGGCCTGGGGAATTCCAGCTTCATTGCTTCTGAGGGAGAAAACCTGATTGCTTTTCGGGGGCAAAAGAAAGCAATGTTTAGGTATCACTACTTGGACCGCATGCCTTTTTACAGCCAAACTCCTGTGTGTTTCGTAAACAGATTTCGCGTTAATGGATATTTATGTAATAATTAGACCTCTCAATTAGTGCGAAGAAGGTTGGTTGGGTTGGGAAAGAGGTGGGGAGAGGGCAGAAGGATGATTTTTTTTTTCGTTCTAGGTCCTTTGTGTATTTATTTTTAAATGTCATCTCTGAGATGGATTTTTGTCACCAGGGGTTACCCTGGCAGCGGGACTCAACCCCTGCAGGAAGAACCTCGCTGAAATTTTGGTCCCAAGGTTCCTTTGAGGACCAGATCAGTTGTTCCTGCTGAGGAGCAGCAGTAACTCAGGGCAGGCAGGGTGAGGGAAGTCATCGGGATGGAAACGCCCGGATTTTTCTTTGCCCGCCTCCCACTCGGGGTCCTGACTGCCACGCTTTCCAGGACTGCATCCCACCTGGTTCGTGTGCCACCCCCAGCGCCCCCACCCATCTCTGGGGGTGGCTCATCAGCATGTGTCTCCATCGTCCGCCCCCTCGGTGTCTGCTGGTCCCAGCAGAGCCCTGGAACGTCCACTCTTCACCCCCCGTCCTTCAGCTGTGGGTTGGCATCGCTCCCTCCCTCCCTCCTCGAGTGCCCTCTCCCCCGAGATTGACTCTGACGTGGAAGCCTCGGCACGTCCACTGGGATCTGCTGTCTGCACCGTTTTCTTTGCATGACTTTATATGCAGTAAGTATGTTGAAAAACCCAGAAAAGAAGAAAAAACACTCAGCAAAACCAATCTACATGTTTTGGACAAAAAAAGAAATAGAGGTTGTATTCTCAGTGTCCAACTTGGAAATATGTTGCTGCCTCTCTGTGCTTTTGGCCTCTGTGTGGCCGTGTTTTGCCAGCATGAGATATTGTCCCCTCTGGAGGATTTTAGGGGAGGAAGAGCCACATCCCCACGGCTGTAGAGGAGGCACTGATTCCCGCTGCGGAGTCCTGGGTGGTGGGTGGAATAGGACTGATGGGGATGTTTGGCCCAGACCTTTCTGAGTTCTCCCTGACCGTGGGCTGTCTGTTGGGCCCTTCTCTCAATTGCTGCTGCCCTGGGGACAGGTGAGGCAGGCAGGCCAGGGCCAACCGGCCAGGAAACGGGCTGCCCGAGCCTCCTGGTCTCCAAACTGGTCGATCACTGGCCACAAGCCTTGGCAGAGACCCCGCTGCCGAGGCTCAGGGGTGGGCACTTGGCCTGCCCCTGGCCCAGAGGGCTTCCTGGTAAAGCCCAGTGATCCCAGCACACCAGGAGCAAAGCTGCCTGCCTCCCTGGGAGCTGCCAGCTCCCACAGCCATCCCCAAGCCAAAGGTGTGGCCTTCACCAGGGGATGTTGCAACTACCGAGGCCAAGTCTGGTCCCTCCTTCAGCCTCGGTGTCCCCCCTCAGTTAAACAGTCCTGCCCAGCCTATGTGGCAGGGCTGATGGGGGATCAAATGGAGTGGTGAGGTGAAGCCCAATACATCTGTGAGAACTAATAGGGTTAGTCACTGGCTGGACTCCCGCTCCATTCTGAGCCTGGCCAGTCCCCTCCCCTCACCCGTGTGCCCCTCATTCTCCTCTTTGGTGTCTGTCAACTGCTTCTCAGCAGTGAACTGTGGGGCAAGAGCCGTGGTTTTGGGGTTAGTAGGTTTCATTCCCAGCTCTGACCAGGCTGGCTGTGAAACCCTGGGCAAGACCTTCCCTGCGGTGGTCCTCAGTTTCCCACAAGAAAAAACTGAGGTGGAGGACACCAATATCCTGCCTTTCATTTGCTGACACACCTCCTGCCCACTGTGTCCATCTCTAAGTACCAGGGAAGTGGAGGCAGGTCCCTACCCCAGGCCGAAATGGCCCCGCCGCAGAGGCCACACCTGCGGGTGGGCAGCTGGCAGGTGCGGGCCACGAAGGCACCAGCGTGACCCTTAGGCAGCAGGCAGGGGGGACCACAGACAAAGCAGCCCAGCGCCCACCCCCACCAGTCAGCTCTACTCCTTCAGAACATCCTGACCATGCAAAAAATCTAGACCTAAGACAAGACCTAGGTTCCGGCATGCAAACATGTTTACGGGAAAGTACTCACCGGGTTCATGCCCGCTGTGTGTTAATCCTGACCACGGCCTCCTGTCTTCCTTCAAGGGAAGACCCCCTGGGGGGATGTGTTTGTAGACTCCCCGTGCTGGTTTCTTTGTTACTATCTGTTTGGGGTTTTGTTTTGGTTCTTTCTTTTCTTTCTTGTTTTTTTCTGTTTTTAAAAATATGTGGCTGTGAACTTGAATGACCACTGCTCAAACTTTCTGCTAAAGGGGGGGAGGGGGGAAAAGAGGGGCGTCTGTTTTATTCTTGGTGTTTTCAGTGCAATAAATAGCTACAAACTTCTGTGCATGCTGGCTCCTTGTCTGGCTCAGGCACCCACTGGGAGGTCGTTTGTTTCCTGTTCTAGATCTCCCCAGTTGCCAAATAAAAACCCAGGTCTTCATTCCGATTGGACCAACTTGGTCACATGCTCAAGGCTGAGCCAATCACTGTGAAATGCCTGGGCCGCATTCCCCAATCTCACAGCCAGGGGTGGAGCTCTCAGGCACACCGCAGGGGGGGTGCGTAACAAAAGCAAAGTGGTTGTCACAATCAGGAAATAGCAAAGTCTCCCTCAGGGACCTGGGGCATGTCTCCTCCAGACCTCAGTTCCTTGTATTAAGGAGGAGGTTGTTTCAGAAGTTCTTTCCCACCCATTGTTTTCCCTCAGCCCAACCTCAAAGACAAGCCCCCAAGCCTCAGAGCTCTTGGAAACGGGTTTGGACCCTTGTACACGCGACAACCTTCACAGCGAGAGCAGAGGCCAAGGCTTATTGCAGAGGAACTTGGACGCTTCCATTTGCAGTCTTGCCCTTGAACCTGCAAATCTTAGCACCAGGCCACCCAGCTCTGCCTTCAGGAGCCCTGGCTCTCCTGCCGTGGCAAGAGGAAGGGCTTGAGGCTTGGGATGCCATTGCAGACACTCGCCAGTAGGTGGAAGCATAGGAGCAGGTTACAGGAGGAACTGTGCCCTGTGGGGCTACCACGTTCTGGGCTGTGGGTGCTCCCAGTTCACCTCAAGACGTATCCTTGAACACTCAAAAAGTACAAGCTCCACCTAAACACTATTATTATCTAATAGAACGTGACCTTTTACAGTTCAGAGCCTTTCACCGCACCTCTTGTCCCAGCTGCGATAGCCACTGTTCTGAGGATGAAGACAATGAGACTCAGTGCAGAGTGGACACGGCCGGGGCTCCAGAGCACAGCTCTGTTTCCCCCACTGTCTCCCACTCCTAGACAGCCAGCATATAACGACGGGGCTTCTCAGGAACCCCTGCCTCTGACCCTCTGCCTCTTACAGCTACTGTGTCGTATCTCAGTTGTCCATGCCTACAGGCTCTACCTCCTCACCGCACCTAAGAGTCCCAAGTCCGCTGGAGAGGGCGGGTTACCCCTCATTCTTTTGCTCAACACTCCTGGTCCTCAGGAATCAGCACTGGTGTCTTCTTCGGGAAGTCCCCTCCTCTCTCCCAGCACACCCTGGGTTCGGCCCTCCTACAGGTTTCCGCGACCCGTCTCCCTCAGCCCCCTGGTTTGAAGGCACCTGAGTAAGCATCTGCAAACCTAGGCACTCCTTGAAGTCATGACAACATCTTGTTCACGCTCAGGCCACATACAGCAGGCATTTTTGCTCTTGCACAGAGCAGCCCCCGGCAGATACCTGTTGCTGGAATGAAGGAAGACTGGACACTGTTGGGGTGTAAGCACCACCCCACCCTGCCACTTCCACGCGTGCCCTCAGCCTTCCCTGGGCTCCCCTTTTCTCTCCATTCTGTGAACAAGGAGCCTGTGGAGCACACAGGGAAGGGACTAAGCCCTTGGTGGTCCAGGATGTGAGGGAGGGAGGTGAGATGCTGAATCTTAGCTGTGCTGAGTGCCTTCCTTAACAGGCTGTAGCAGGCTGGGCTCCTGTCCCAGGAGTCCTCGACACCACCCCAGTGAGCAAGTGCCACACAGAGAACCAGAACTCAGAGCAGACAGGGGTGGGAGCTGGACCTGGAGGTGCAAAGCATGAAGGAACCAGAAGAAGGAGCAGGAAGTGTGGCAGCAACGGGGGGTTCTGGGGAGGCTTTGTGAGGGGCTGGACAGGTTGTGGGTGGAAAGCAGAGGCAAAGGCTGAGGGGTCAAGGAGAAAGGGCTGGGGAGGAGGCTGAGAAATGTCCAGAGCACACGTGTGCCTCAGTCTACAGTGCTGAGGGCATGGGTGGGCCTCCAGCAATGGAGATGGCCTTCCCCAGACTGGAGCCCTGATAGATCTTCTAGGACACATCCCTCAGCAAGTGCTGGGAGTGTTTGCACAGGGCAAGGCCAGGCAAGTCCCGTCCTGTGGGAATGGCCCCTCTCCTTGTCCTTCTTCCTGGACGAGCCCCACCCTCCCTTTCCATCTGGGCCTGCCAAGGTCAGAGGCCACTTCCCTCTGTGCAGCCTGGCCCTGCCATCCCTTCCTGGGCCCTGGGC